TATAATTATAGAAATATAATTTCATTTTATGTATTTTAATATAAAATAGTAGAAATTGTTAGCGATCGTATTTAATATAATAAAAAATAATCGTATGGTATATTGCATGCTTATGCTATATATATTTAATCTATCTATAATATGTTTAATAGTATGAAAATTTGCGTAATAGTATGCAAAGCGATGTATACTCGCGTTTTAATTTATATATAAAAATACAATAGTTGTCCTATGTGCAAATTATATAAAACAAATTTTGTCAAAATGTAATGATCGTTTCGAATAAGCAATGAATAACCATACAATAACAATAATCGATTATTTGTATATAAATTTTTTTATCATATTTCTACCACGTACTCCTCTTCAATAAATTTTTTTATGTTAAAACATACATTGTATCTTTTCTTATTGTATTTAAATTTTCCTAAGTAAATACATCAGAGTCGCTAACTTGAATTGAGATCGTCTTTGTTTTTAGCAGTAAGCTCAAAGATCATATCCCGCATGCGGCTCAACTCTTTCAATTCCCCTTTCATCCTTTGAATATTTCTATCCTTTTCCAATATGGCTTGTTCAAAGGTCTGCAACATATGCTTCATTTGTTCAATTTCTTGCTTAAGCGCAGATATATCGCTTTGATTTGCTTCTATCTCTGCACTTTTTTTCTCCAAGATCTACAACACACAAAATATAATAGAATTTGGATTAGAACATTTTTAGAGATAAAATGTACAAAGAATTACTATACCTGTTCTTTCTTGCTAAGGGAATCTTGCATTTTTTGTAAAAGTTTACTTAATTCATGATTTTTATTGCCCATATCTGTAGCCTTGGTTTCTGCGATTAAACATTCATTATCTAATTCTTTGATTTTTTTATTTAATATATCAATTTTATTATTACTAGCTTCTAAGTCTTTTGTACACTGTATCAGTTTTTCATTTAGATTTTCCAAATTTGTCGATTTTTCTGCTACAATTTTTTTCAAGGATTCATTCTCCTAAAAATGCGATAGTATTATATGAATGTTCATTTTTATCATAATAATTTGCGTCGTTTTAGCCGCACTGACTCTCATTTTTCTCATTTTATTTATTTTTGTTTATATTTTAAAGTTTGAGGGTCCGTTTTAATTATTATTATTTTGTAATAGTCATTATTATAGAAACTAAAGAAATTGTTAGGACAATTCTGCATTTGTATAATAATACTCACTTGTTTTTTTAACAAAAACGCTTTTTGAGATTGATTTTCCTTCTCGCTAAATTTTTCCGTTAATGCACACTTTTCCGCCTTTATTCCTTCCAAAGATTGCTGGGTGTCAAATAATAATTGATGTAATCTACTAGACTCAACCACTATTTGCGCTAATCTGTGTTGTAGACTAGTAGCATGATTATTTGCTGCTTCTAAACTTGACTGCATTGCCCTTTCAGAATGTCTCATTGTTGCTAACTTTAAAGAAGTTAATTACAATATAATGAGACATATCAAACTGTGCACTATAAATGTAAAAAAAATACTATAATGTATAATTTTTATACTTTATATTCATATAATTCCATGACCGCAGATGTTGGAATATCATTAATCTGATTCGATTCGAGCTTAGTTAAAAATGCATCAAGGCGTTCTTCTTGCCCGATGGAAAATAATGGCGCCAGTTCATTTCCAGTATAATTCAGGGATGCTTTATTCGAGACCTCCAACATATTGTTATTGGTATTTTGAACCAATATCAATGGTTCTAATTCTTTCATGCACAGTGCCACTGCAGAAATACTTCTCAAACAGAAATTCTGTATATATAACTGTCACATGTTAAATTGAGATAAACTTCTTATCACATATGAAGTGCTTACCATTCTTGTGGAAATCCAATTGATGATGTCAACTGCAAAGCTTTCTGCTTAACTTCTCCATCACCGGTGAATAGTGCTAACGCTATTATCATTTGTATTTGTTTTTTACTGAGCAATTCGGAATACAGAGTTAACCAGTTAGAATGATTCGCTGCCAAATCTGCTGTCAAGGCTAAGGCATGAATGTAAAGGTTGGTAGAAGTATTCTGCAAAATCGAAAACATGTAATTAGTACAACTGTAACTCGTGCTGCATATTAAATTCTCTCTGTATTAACCTGCATAAAGTTTTTAGTCCAATTTCCAGAGGTGGACAATTCGTTATCTAATACATGATTGAACAGTTTGCGCATTGCATTTTCATTGAATGAGCTTATGATCTTCTTTTTTAGTGCAGGAGTTTTAATCATTTCTTGAAACAGCTGCATCAATTCGGCTTGCTTCATTTCCGCGTTTTGACTCCCACTTTGGTCATTAACTTCGTCCTCTTGATTTGTTATAAGCATTAGAACAGATGGATCTATTTCCGTTAAAACTTCGACACAGGTTCTAGTGCGTCGGGAATCAATTATTACGCTTCGTATAAGTGCTAAAGCTTTTGAGCACACCTATGTTTTTCAACAAAAACTTGATTAAATTACTGATTAATTTCTCATATTCCATCTTTTCCTTTACATTTTTCGAATTATCGCAATAATAAGAATTATGAAAGATGATAATAAAGATTACATACCTGTTCCACAGGTACCCACATCATAGCTGATTTTATACATGCAGGATACAAAGGCGCTATGGCAGTTAATTTCAACTTTACCAATAATAATAAAAATTCCATCATAAGAGCGACGCATTCCGGATCCGTGTTCTCTTCCAAAGTAGCCAATATATTTTCAATATCTTTGCCGTAGCTAATCAACATCGAAAACGTATAACATTTTATCTTTAAAATATTTTAAGCATTATTGTTACATAAGAATCTAATTTGATCGACTTACTTTGAATATGTGAGTAAAACATTTCGCCAATGTTCGTTTTGCCCAATATCATTAAAAAAGTCGACAATATGTCTCAATAATAAAACGTCTTTTTGTTTCATCGCTTTTCCCAGATTAATAAACGTTACCGATGCAAAATCTGTGATATATTTCTCATACATACTCGTATTAGTTGGCTCCAATATAATTAATAACTTGCAGCATTGTACACTAGTGTTGACATGAGCTTGGAATTTCACTAACGTTCTAATAAATGCTTTAGTATTGACGGTTCGCATCAGAGTGTATACTGCCGGAAGATTTTTATAACATAGATTTACCAGCACACCTAAAGATAGAGCGATAATCTCTTCTTCTTTTGATTGTACTACCCACTGAGTTAATGTGGAAATTAAATACGGAAGGTGAGTCTCTTGCCACGAAATTTTGATTCCGTATGTTAATTCTTGCAATAGTTTCAGTACTCGTATCCTCTTTTCAGTTGTCAGATTCGCCTATAATGCCCGAAAGAACTTTATATTAATTTGATTATGCAAAGGTATCTAATAATGTAATCCACTTCTTCCCATCATCTTATCTATAGAACAGCATCTTTTTAATAATTGTTAAAGGAGCATATAAGCTTACCCAAGATCAACGCAGTACAAGTGTACATTTTATCATAATAATACATATTCATCGAGAAACGACCTTATATTAGGTCATCTTCAATATCTGTATAACACATTTTTTTAAACATTTATTATAATATAAATGTGTCATGTATTACAAGTTGTACTTGACGCCACATAAATTACAATTATATTTCATAAATTCGAGTATTCTCATATTCATATCTGTCATTCAAGAAGAAACATCACACTCCTAGTTCATGCTTCTCATGTCCAATTAGATATTGCAATATACTTTAATGAATCATTGACTGATTGGAAATTATAATTGATATCTCAGTGTCTCACAAAAGTCCCAATTTTTATAAGAATACTAAAAATGTCAAACGATATTTATTATATAATTTCTATAATTAAACATTAGAAACTCTTGATGAGGTTCTAAAACCCACAATGAATCACATATAGGAACTAGTTTCTGTATAAATAAGAATATGATGCTTTTTCTTGATTAGCACATGAATATGAGAGAATACTCAAATTTACAAAAATATAATTCTAATATATATGTGATACTCACACACACACATTTATTTATAACGAGTGTTTAAAAAAATGTATTACATAGATACTGAAGCTGATCCAATATAAAGTCGGAATGTTTATATTATATTGATAGATACATTTTCATTGTGATCTTACATAGGTTTAACAATTATTGCTCCTTTAACAATTATTAATATTTTTATATGTATATATAATTCATATGTATAAACAATCTTTTTAATTGCTTCATGGAATATTTATATAGGAAAAAAATTAAAATAGTGTTGTATACAAATAGGATGATAAAAAGAAATGAATTATATAATTAGTGAAAAAAAATAATGAGTTATTGAATTTCATACCTCCAATAATCTTGCCAATATTGGCGCAAATTTATATGTATGGATAAGTGCTTGTCTAGCAGGTACATTTCGACAAGCGTTTTGCAAAACATCCACAGCACTCCAGATTAAAGTAGATCGTGATCCTACGGAGTTCATGAGCTCGTACATGCTCACATAGAACTCCGCGGTTACGCAACTCCCAGGATCAAATATACTCAAGTCTAACGATGCGCTTATCACCTTAGAAATATAAATTCATAAATGGGAAGCATAAAAAAATTTTGTAAAAGGTATATTAATAATAATAAGGTATATAAATGTGTTTTTATATTTACTCCAAGACTTCTTTGTATAGCGGAGATTACGTTTTCGCTGGGGTGCTTTGTGTAATCCAAAGCCGCCGATATAAACGCTCTCATGTGCTGATACTTCTCCATTATCACACTAAAATGTTTTGCTGAGAGATCCTAATAAGTTTCTCTTCCCCGAAGACGTGTCAGCTGATTTTCTTTTAAAAATTTATCGCCACCTATATCTGAAATGCAGATACGTCTCACAACTCAGTGGAGGTGTTTATTCAGGAGGTATTGGAAATCATAGTTCGATGAATATTGTGTTACGTTGTTGACAGTCCTCGCGTATTTTCGGACGTAAACAAAAGGCAGCATATGACATGTGATAGAAATCTCGAACGTGGACGCCCATTTTTAAAAACCGACCTGATTCAAATCAACCAATCGCGTGCTACATTGGGTCCAAGCACGACCGCTCACTGAACGCTCAGTAAGCTCTTGTATCTGTTTGGTTTATATTTTTAGATCTAATGGAATATGCCAATCAGATAAAACAAACTTATGCCTGGTTTATGCTTCGGTGTCTTAATCCTAAAATTCAGCCAATAGAGTTCAAATTTCGGTTAGAACTGGCAGCTTTATTGGTTGAATTTTAGGATCTTGGGATTAAGACCTGAAGCATAAACCAGGCATTACTGAGCGTTAATTTATTAGAATTTAATTGATTAATATTTAGTGAATTTGCTCACTTTTGTAATCAACTCATTTTAGAGTGATCGTACCAATTCCAATTTACTTAATTGACCGATTTAAGTGTCAACCATTGGCCAATTACTGCTGAACAGCAAATGCCATTATGGTCAGTTTTAATGTAAACAATCGGTAAGGCCGGAATCAGACTACGCATTGAACATTGAGATTAAAGATTGAAAGATTGAAATTTGGCATATGGTCAGTTTTAATGTAAACAATCGGTAAGTTAAGCCCATGGCACATAGAAAAACGTAAGGCCGTAAACGTAATCAGTAAGCGAATTGGCCAATCACAGTAGAGACCGTAAAGCGGGGAGCACAGACTTTTGCATAACGCATAAAGCATGTGCATAAGAAATTTCATTGGTCCATTTTCTTATGCATGAGTCAATGGACCAATCAAATTCTTTATGTATATGGTTTATGCGTTATGCAAAAGTCTGTGCTCCCCGTTTAAGACCGGTAGTGAATCCAATATTAACGATTTCCTTACTGATTCGTCTTACGACCTTACGTTTTTCTATGTGTTTCTGGCTTTAGGCTTGGTTTATGCTTCGGGTCTTAACTCTAAAATCCTAAAATTCAGCCAATAAAGCTGCCAGTCCTAACCGAAATCTGTATTCCATTGGCTGAATTTTGAGGACCGAAGCATAAACCAGGTATTAATCGGAGTTGGTGAGATCGGGCAATAGTTGATTATTCTTTTCATATTTAACTGTGATTGGTTAAATTTCTTCATTCAAGAAAAACTTATTTATAACCATTACTTTTATTATAGACCCTGTATAAAAAATTTTACAAGTTGACCAATTTTTAAAAAAATGCTTCAAAGTATTTGTAGCATCGCGTTGACCACTACTCTTCGAAAAAGAACCAAACCTAAAGGTTGGATTATACTGGCCGTAATCTGTTAACTTATGCTGTAATCTGTAAAAATTGACCAATTATAATCGATTATTCCCCTCTCATTCGACTGTGATTGGTCAATTTTTACAGATTACGGCATAAGTTAACAGTTTACGGCCAGTATAAATCAACCTTAAGACTTAATATCATATTTTCAATCAACTACACGGCCTCTCGCAGTGGCCGCGTGCCAAATCGTGACGCAAGATGGCGTCGCGATACCCAGCGCATGGAAATGCTGACGCGATATCGCCCTGATTAATTCCTGCTTGTCTGTGCTTGTTCGTAGTAGTCGGTACTGGTCGGTACGTGGACGTTATCGGTGGAATCGGAGGTGAGACAAAACCGAGTCGGGTGGGAGCCGCACGAGAGAGGCGTATCCGTTTGAGACCTCGCGTTTCGTTTGCCGCGAACTCGACGTGACGATTCGGCGGGTGAATATCCGTTTGCGTTCGCGCGATCACGCGCGACCCTCGGAAAATCCGAAGGCGGAACGAACGGGCGAAAAGTGACGCAGCACCGTATGCATCGCGGTGCGGTGTCGGTAATTTCGTTTTCTCTCTCTCTTTCTCTCTCCTCCCCTCTCATTCTTTGTCAGTCTCTTTCTCATTTGCTCTTTCCTCTGTCTCTCCCTCTCTCATCAAAGTGTCAAAGTTCCGACACTGCTCGTCGACGTATCCGTCGTCGGTGCCCGTCGATGTAGGTTACGAGGAGAGGAGAAACGAACCGCGATCGCGGGGTGCGAGTCGTGCGAGTGTTACGCGGCCGGGCGGCGACACCCGCACCTCCCACGGGGAGAAAAGAAAACGGATAACGTCGTGCACGGCGATATCAAGTGCGAACGAACAGACGAACGAACGAGCGAGCGAGCAAATAAGTGTAACGCGGGGGAGAGCGAGAGAGGATTCCGAAGAGTCCGGTGAACGGAGAAGAGCAAGCTCCAGAGGAGTTTCGCATGCCATCCGGGAGCTGTTATAAATGTGCACGTTTTACATAAATTGCGCGCTCTATGCACGATCGACGTGCCGATCTATCGGTGGTGAGTGCTGATCTAGCCTGACACTCCGGCAGCGAGTCGACGTTAAATCATCATCAGCAGCAGCACAGCATTGGTCGCCGTCGTCGCCCCTCCCCCGAGAAGAAGCTAACTCAGTGCGGCGTACCTATCTAACGGCGTGCCCCTCGACAACGCAAAACAGGTTAAACATAAACTCCTTGAAACACTTAAGAATTTTCACTCTTGGCAGGTGTCAGTCAGTCATTCTGCGAGAGGAAGAGCGCGAGCGCGCACTTACATTAGTGAGCAAAACGAGCGAGGCGAGCGAGCGATATGAGGATTCCTAAATAAGATACCCCCTTCGAAGAACGAAGAGACGGCAGAAGAATGTTTATACTGGAGGATGCACGCTGGACGAGGGAGGCGAGGGGACGGCGAACGCGTGTGTGTCGTCCTGTCACCCGATCGCGTTCTCTCATCCACTGCTCCTCGAGGCCTGCCTGGATGACCACGAAAGCTCTCCAGTGTTTCTCCCCCCTGGGGAGAGAACATCCGTTCTTTCGAATGTTGCTGACGTTTCGACGGGCGGTGACAAGTTACCTCAGGGCAGTGACAATCGTGGCGCATTCGTTCCCGTTCCTTCCTTCTCGCTCCCTCCCTCCCTCTCCTCTCCTCTCCTCTCCTCTCCCCTCGCGTTCTTTTTTCGCTATCTCACATCGTCCATCTCCGTCTGTCTCCCTCTTATTTGCACACATACGCACGCACACGATGCGCTTGCGCACACATACATACCCCGCATACACACAACAAGTATATACGCGACATGGCTGTTCTCTGTTTCTCTCCATTCCTCCTTCGTGCTACGTCGATGCATCGTTTTAACGGTTTCTCATAATTTTTCGATAAACACCCTGAGTGCCCAAGGTTACGGAGAGGTGTCGGCGTGACGTACATGATCGCATTCCGGTGGCTTTTCCTTTCGTCGACGGATGCCACGGCGGTGAGACGGACAGGCAGGCGGCTCGCACGACGGTACATAGAGCGCGCGAGCGGAGCTCTCCTCGTCGACGATCCTTTTCACGAGCGTTTGCATGTACTCGGATCTCGTGATCGTACCGCGTAAAAATCGAGAGAGTGGGTGCATCGGCCCCTCTTCCCCCCTCCCTCCCCCGCCCCAAAAAATAATACCAAAGGACGTATTCGATGACGTTAAGGCTGACACTAATTGGATAATATAATTAACAGTGCCGGATCCTAATGGGTTAATGAGTGCCCTCGCCTGTTTTCCATGTCTACCGCCCCTCCAAATAAGCTAAGCTACCTTTGACTTTTTATCACCGTGCACGCGTAAGTAATCCGTCGATTCTATTTAATTAACTCCAGTAGAGAGTAACAGTCGCGTCGGAGTCACTAGTTAGTGATTCATTCGACTTGCTTCTACCATGAGATCTCCCATGCCGGCGTCGCCGTTCGTCCGTCGTCTTGAACTTGATTCTTGGGATCTTGAAATTCTTTTATTTCAATACCGTTTTCACCCCGCAATCGTTGTTTTTCTGAACGTTCTTATCTTATCACTGGGGCATTCGTATTTCATGCAAATGTCTTCTCTTAAAATGATCCTCTGCCTCCGCGCACGTTTTTCTTGCGATTGTTAATTGATTGTTACTTTTGGTTGTGCGTTTAAATCTTGTTTGTATCCTCTTGTTATATTTGCTATTTGGATTTTTCTAAGTACATAGGCCACAGATAATCTAAAAATATTGTAATTAATTCTTGTATGCCTGAAACGAAGTCTTATCTGTCAGGTATAAAGCTCCAGTATAAATAGACGTTTATCTTCTATTGAATTGAACTTTCTGTAGTGTGCAACAATAACAACTGAAATTTATTAAATATTATAATGTGTCACTTCTCTATATAAAAAGACAAAATTGGCAAGTTTACTTTTTGGTTACTTTTTTGTTACTTTATAATAAACAATTTGATAATAATGTTGCAATTTTTATAACTAAACACTAAGGCTGTGCGAAAAGTCGACATTTCCAACTTTAGCACAACCTTAGTATTTAGTCATAAAAAATTGCCATGTTTATGATAAAAAGTAATAGAAATATAATGGAAAAAGTAACGCTTCCTAACTCTGTAAAAAGATTAGTTTTTTTATGTTTATCTAAACATTGGATGTATCTTCATTTTGTTTTCAGGAATTATATTATATCTTTAATATCATTGTAATATTAATATTTTATATTATATACATAAAAATCATAATTTTATTAAAGTATTTTATTATAGAATATTTTTTTACTAAATACTCTTTTAAAAAATTTCTAATAAAACACAGTATTATTATTACAATGATATATTAAGCTTTTAATATACTTTAATTTTTTCATTCTACTCTTACTATATCTCTCTTGTAACATTTAAATGTAATTAAGCTGAAAGAAGAGAGATTCATTATCGTGATTTAAGATTCACTTATTGTGAAACAGAAGAATGCTCTTCAAATAGCCTATAAATATATTCTTTAATTAATAATATAGCTAGCGATATTGTTAAGACCAGAATCAGACTATGCATTGAAGATTGAAATTTCACCCATGAGGCCAAGAAATTTTGGTTCCTTTTGTTTTTTGATTGATCAAACTTCAATCTTTTAATCTTTAATCTCATCCTTCAATACTTAGTCTGATACCAACCTAACAACTAATGAAATTGCGAAATCAATTAAAATTAAGAAATTATTTTTCTTTCTAGGTGATCATGGCGACTCGGGGTACGGCCCAAAGGCCGAATGGATCGACACAAGGAAAAATTTGTCAGTTTAAACTAGTTTTACTCGGTGAATCAGCAGTCGGAAAATCAAGTCTTGTTTTAAGGTTTGTCAAAGGACAGTTCCACGAGTACCAGGAGAGTACAATTGGTGGTAAGAATATTTATGTACAATTGCTCTTTAGTGCTACATATTTTTTTTTACATTGTATTGCTACTATTATGAATATGATTATTTCCAGCTGCATTTCTAACACAAACTGTATGTTTGGATGACACAACTGTAAAATTTGAAATCTGGGATACTGCGGGGCAAGAGCGTTATCACAGTCTTGCACCGATGTATTATCGTGGTGCACAGGCAGCCATTGTTGTGTATGATATAACAAATCAGGTAAGAGTAATCTGTTAAGATTTGATGTGAGTTTGAAGGAGTCAAATGTTTATAACAAAGTTGAATCAACGAGATGACAGAACTAATTGTTTACTAGGATACATTCTCACGTGCCCAAACATGGGTAAAAGAATTGCAGCGCCAAGCCAGTCCGAGCATAGTAATAGCATTAGCTGGAAATAAGGCAGACTTGGCAAATAAGAGAGTCGTCGAGTATGATGAAGCTCAAACGTATGCGGATGAAAATGGCCTTCTTTTCATGGAAACATCTGCTAAGACGGCAATGAATGTTAACGACATATTCCTTGCAATTGGTGAGCTGTGATTTTTACTTCTTTCCAGTTAAAATTTAATTGTACATTATTCACAGTAATTGCATACAAATTATACTATAAAAGTAATATTAGTATTTTCAAGTTATGTAAATATTCACATTAGTAGTTAAGCTTCAAACTACATATATAAATTTCCTGTTTTATTTGATAATAAGTAATCTCAGAAATATGATCCTATCTCATGTTACGTGTTATCACTATTCGAAATACGTGAAACTGCAACTTTACATCTGTTGGTGCTATGTTACATTAAACAGCAAAAAACAATTTCGAAAAATGCTTATGATTACAAAACACGTTGACACAGTTTTGATAAAGCAAGATATTTCTTTTTACAGCTAAAAAGCTTCCTAAAAACGAACAATCGGGAAGTGCAAGTACGAGTGGTCAAGGCCGTCGACTAGTCGAGTCAGATGGGCAAAAGGCAGCAACCGGCAATTGCTGCAAGTGATTATCTAAATCCGTATGTGTCTCACAATATATTCGTATCTATATATTTTTACATTACATATATTTGAATATATATATATATACTATCTTTAAAATTAATTGAATTGATGAGAGACATTATTCCATTAATGAGAGAGAAACCAGCAAATATTTGATATATGCCTAATGAATATGTTATGAATCAAATGTTCAATGTAACATGTTCACATATTTTTATAATATTAGAATATATAATGAATTGAAAGCGCGATCAAAAGAAGAATGGGGAAACGGGAATATATCAATTTGATATTGCATAGAAGTAGACATTTGCACTTTAAAATGCTTTTAGCAGATTTTTGTATTAGTATGTCATAATGGGGTATCTGAGTAGTCATGCAATTTCATAGAGTATATTATATTATATTTCTTGTTATGTTTATGATATTTTTTATAGCGTATAATTCTCTCTTGACTTTTGCCTCCTTTATACATATTTACTATAAGTAGATATATAAAGGTAGGTTGAAAAAATTGATAAAAAGATAAATAGCGCGGATTGAAAGTCCAATATATATGAATGACCATCAAATTTATAACATGCAGGATATAAATGTAATTGTAATATTGCTGTATAATATTTAGCTAAAAATTGACAATTCTTGTAATTAAAAGGTAGTTAACACACAAATGTATATGTGAAAAAAACGATTCTAAATTTTATGATGTTTTCATGTTAAGAATGTATCTATACTTATTTCTCAGAAATTGTTCTTTTAGCAGTATATTATTCAATACATACAAATATCCAATATAATGTTGGATATATATATATATATATATACTTAAAATAATTCTTTAGCTAAAATCTTTTATTTTATTCACACAATTATCACATTGAAGGATATATCGCTATTAATTAAGTCTTTAATAGCAAATCTTTGATATTCTTTCAATATATTTCTACTAGATTTAAATAGCATTTACATTACTGTGACAGCTTTATTAAAGACAGAGTTTCATTATTTGCGTACAAAAAATGAGATACATCTAAAAGCATAATACTTTTTTATTAATTTTCTCGTTTTATCGTGTATGTATATCTGTTCATCCGTGATTAATTTAAGTGTATTATTCAAAATTTCGCGAAAAAGAGAAGTTATTTAATATAAGGCACTAGATATCCCTCTTAAGCACATTGTAGTGTTTATATGACACTCTATATGTTTATAGATATTATAAATTTGTAAAAGTTTCCTTTCCTCTCGGAGGATACTAATTTCTGACTGATAAAGGTGCTACAAGAATACATGTGCATGATATTTATTATGCAAGCTTGTGGAAATGTTTCTTGTAATTTACGATAATGCTCCCATTTCCTGTGCAATGATTCGTATCATTGGATCGTATATCTGAAATATTACTTTGTAATAATAATAGGTAAAAGTGTTTAAAATTGTTACAAAAAAGAAAATTCTCAGGGTGCAATCCTTCTCTTCAATCTTTAATATTGTTATATCCTAATTATATATTTATTCTTATTTTCGCTATATGATATACGAGTATCTAGATATATTCTGTTAAAAACCACAGGTAGGTTCTATTATTCTTGTATAGAGAAGTTTTTAATATTCACCAGGTAAATAAAATGTTTTACAGTAGTTACAGTCTTGTGCATTGTAGATATTCAACAATTGTAATACAGTACATTATGGAATCATACATTGTGACTCATTCTCCTTATCATTTACATACATGTAACGAAAAAGACTATCATTGCATACGTTCATAAGCTGTAAAAATTTTGTATTACACTTCAAAATAATTAACAACGATATACATGCTACTTAAATAATTATTTATTACCGTTTTATTTCTACGGAGGAAATTATTTATTTCTCAGAGATTCTTAATTAAATTAGGTAAGTTGCAAGTAAATTGTTAATTATATCCGAGAAAGTTTACACCTCGACATAACATTATTGACACAATTTTGTTGAACTGTAACACCATAATTAAGCTAAACTGCTCTCGATGTTGTTTTCAATTATATTAATTAAATTTGCATTCGTACGTATTTAGAATAATATTGCAGTAGACGCGCTATCTATTTCTGATTACAGATATGTACTATAATCTACAAAGATAAGTGCACTACAAGTGTGCTACGATGAATTTGAGAAGAAGACACACACAACAGGGGAAAAATACAGAGTGGGAAGTGAACTGTGTGGGACATTCGCAAACATTTTGCTAGAGTGATTGACTAAGAGTCTGCGTCTCAATGTAATCGACGATATATCATCTATTTTGAGTATCAGATCTATTAAGAGGTGGTAAAAAAAAGCTCCCATTTGTAATTCTAGTAGTGTAATGGGCGGTGTTCGTTATAAATATATAAATATATATAAATACACATTATATATTATAAATCATATAGATAAATATGATTTATATATGTAATAAGTATATATAAATGCTAATGATAATAAATAATAATATTAATAATGATAATTAATAAAAATATAATACACCGTTAATATTACCGTAAATACCGATAAAGTAACAATACATTTAAAATATGCAACATCTAATGAATTTTTGGCACGCGGAGATCTTGTAAGATAGGAGAGGCTATTCCTGCTGCTATTACTATGTATTTCCTTTCTTAGTTTGTAACACGTATAACAATTTCTTGCTCTAAAATATATTGTATATTAATTTTATTGACAACTCATAATGAATTATAAATGATTACACGGAAAAAAAGAATAAACTTGTGAATATTACGACGGCTCTTGATAATTGCCCATTTATTTGACCGGAACTTTGTATAGAACATAGATACAGAAAATTAGGCAATTATTGTTTCTTTTTTAAGATATTAGATCTTTTGTTAATATAGATTTACTTATATATTCACTTGGTACTATACAACTTTAATATGCTTCTGTGTTCAATAGATACCAACATATTTATAATCATTATAAAGTATTGGAATATATGGTATAGAAATGAATGACGTTTGTGTACTGAGTCTGATAAAACGAATGCGATAATATACATAAAATACAAGAAGTTCAGAATATTTTATTCAGGAAAATACATTATATGCCCGAGTAAATTATGACGCTATATGTAGACCTTGGAAACTTGACAGTGTACTGTTGCATAGTCGATGCAATTTATCTTTTAAATTGATAACGCCTGAAGATGTAACTTACATGAGAAAGCAAAAAGATCGAAAATCAATTTTACTATTTCTTGAATTCTGATTAAATTATTAGGATTGCCAGTAATACATGATAAATATACTTCTTTTCTTTCAGAAAAAACAATTTTAGCTAATACACTGCATAAAGAGAAAAATAAAGAGATACTTGTAAAACTTCTATGGCAAACTTTTACATTTTTCAAGTAAAATATTTAACACAATTTACACTTTTAATTAGATATTTTGTTTTAGAGTACCTGTTCTTTTCTTATTTGATAATTTATATTTATTTTACAAAATCAGTATATTACTTTTCATTAAAAACAAAAAATAGTTATATATTCCAAAAATAAATCAAATATAAGCAAAGTAAAATATACCTATACATGAGCGCGCGCTTCTGCAATTTAAATAATATATTTATAATTCGCAATAATTTATAATTTAAACAATGTATGATTCACAATCAATTAGAATATATACAAATTGAGTTTGTACATATTTATCTCTTGAATTGAAGAGAACTCATTCAGAAACGTTTGCACATTAACTTCGTTAATAAGTACATTTTAATTGATTGCAAATTATATCTTGTTATCTTATAAATATATTATTTACGCGTCTACGGAGACTCATGTACGTATTTTAACTTATATTTGATTATTTTTTTATAATATTCTAGGAGAACTTGTTCACTGACGAACAAATTGCGACAGTTATGAAGTTAATACTTTCTACTCACAATTTTTATCTTGCAAACTATTGGAGTACAGCTGAGGAAACATATAAATATTTTTTCGAGCGCGTTCTTGATTGTACCGTTATGGTAACTAAATTATATATCGAGCAATTTAATTAATTTGTATAGCGCGTACGAATATATTTGTCTTTCATATTTAAAAATTCCAGAATCCACCAAAATGCACAGAAATATTTACGCCAGATCAAGCTGAAACAATACTTGAATTTTTTCGTAAAATATATTTGGAAAATATCATATTATTGCTGTATTTTGTTTGTGTGACTCATTACTGTATTGCTATCCTTTGACAGATGAATGAACAATGGTATGATCGCACATGTTACACAAGAAACGTCTGTTTATTTTTAAAAAATAGATACACTCGGTTATATATATATATATATATATATATATACATACATATGTAGAAAATTATGTTTACATAAAAAAAGCAGCACGAACTAACATAAATCGCATTATAAATTTCTGCATTCTGTATTCAAACGTCAAATTAATCACACCGTTTCTTCAATCTTTATCAAAATAAATCTCCTATAAATTTCCTTCATTTGCTCGTGGAAGAGGATTGATAACCGTAATCACGATTGTCTTCCAATGAAGTATCAGATTCCGTTCCATTCTTAAAATTTTCATTCCACCACCGATTATTTTTTCGAACTTCATTTATTAAATGCTCCATTTTAGGAAACCACCATGAATTGCCACATGTTGATGTACATCGACCAATCTTGATTGGTTTCGTTGAATATTTCTAAAGATATGTGTAAATTAAATATCGTAAAGCTGAGATTTTCTTTTTGTTTTTAACTAATACCAACCTTTCGTGAATTTGTATAGTTCAAGCTTGAAGCTAAATCAGTATCCGTAGTCTGGTTCGCTGTAATTGACGGTGATATGTAACCGTTAATGTGCGCTTTTCTACAACTTCTGGCAGCTAACTTATGAGTTCTTTTCAATTTTTGCGCTAATAAATTAATTCGTTTCATCTTTCGGATTTTAATTAATAAAGCTCTAAAGAAAAATAAATTTTATTTAATATTAAATATAGGAAAAAAGCATTTTTAATTTTAAATAATTACGAGAAACATTTCGAATTATTAAATGTATTGTATACTTACTTTTTCTCAAATACAAGCTGCATTATAAGTTGTTGCTTATTTTTCAAATTTTTCGACAGAGTTTCATTGTATTTTTTCTGTTGCTCCATACAGTCACGAATACATGAAACTATATATTGAGATTCTTTGCAAAGTTTTGATCTACTCATTGCTGTTTCAGTTAAATCAGCTGACATATATGTCAAAGATCGGGTCTTCAAGTGACATTCCTTTTTTAACTCGTGTAAAGATTTGCACATATCTTGTAACTAATGAACACAATAGCTTGGAATATAATTAATAATTATATGATTGGAATGGGAATAATTATATGTACTGATTATGATATATAGCGTAAGAAATATTCAAATTAATATTCATTGTTCAAGAGACCGAAAAGAGTATCGTACCTCGGTAATGTATGTAGAATTATCTCGTTCAAGTGAAATTTTCTGTCGGTCAAGATGGTAAGTCTCTTTCATGTATTCCTGCAATTGTTGAATCAAGTCACGATTTACATTTTCAGTCCTTGTTAATTCCTCTTTTTCTCTCTCAAGCTAGAAATATCAAATCAAAGATTTATATTGCCCATTTATTTCAATAGGAAATTATTAGATAATATGTAAGCTTACATCTTGACGCGTGGTATTCAAATGATCAGCATAATTCTTACACTCATCTTGCGCTTGACAAAGTTCAATATCTTTCGATGCCAATATCCTTTTGGTCTCTTCCAATTCTTCACTTAATTTATTCACTAAATCGCGAAAACGAACTGCTTCATTTTCTATTTCTTCAATCTTAGAACAATAATCTTTTTTCTAAATAATAAAAACACAATTTTTATGAAGAATTTTTAAACATATTTTTAATAAAATATTTGCTTCAAATAAAAAAAAGTATTACCATAATCGCTAATGATTCTTGTAAATCATTTTCTCGTTTTGTTGCAGATATTAATTGTTTTCGAATTTTATTGAGATCTTCAACCATTTGATGACAATTGTTTTCTGTCTGACGCAATTTTATCCGTGCTTCTTTCAGCTAAATAAGATTAAAAAAAAAGAGATGAATATTTTATTACAAAAAAGTAATAAAATATTTATCTCTTTTTTTTAAATAAAAATATAATCTATTATGTATATATTTACCCTTTCTTTCAACTTTAAAATATCTTCTTTGGTTTGAGCTTGTATAATGTTATTTTGATTCTTTAATATAGAATTTTCATTCTGAAGCAAATGTGATAAATGTCTGAATACATGGAAGTCGTTTTCTATTATATGCTTATATAAAATATCAATACAATTAGCCACATACCTTAAGTAATTCGTAATCGGCTTGTAATTTAACCATGTTATCCGATTTCTCTTGTAGTAAAATTTTCAGAGAATTTATTCTATCACATAGAACAGTTAGCATTTCATGCTCCGATATATTCTGTTCTGACAAATTTTCCATTTGTTGATCATTTATAAGTAACTTCTTCCGAAGATTTTCAACTTCGTGAGATTGATTTTTAATAATTTCTTCACTATTAATCACTCGATCATTTAACATATTAATCTATAAAATTTTTACATTAATAAATTCACTTTGAAAAATAGATATCCATAAAATTTTCGATATTATACGATAAGAAAATAATTAAAAAATTAAAAAATAGAGTTTAGATGTGATCACCTCTTTTTTCCCATTTTCCAACTTCAATAAAAGTTCCTCATATTCAGTTTCTCTCTGTTCTATTTTCTTCATCAAACTATCAGTTTCTGATAAGTGATGTTGTAGATTGGTTTCAAGTTGCTGATTTTCGCACCTTAAATCGCACTCTGTATCTTTCATCTTTTGCAATTCTGCTTTTAATTCTTGTATTTCAGCGATATTTTTTATTTCTGTTTTTTTAACCGTGCTGCTTGAGCACTCCAAATCTCGAGTATCGCAGTTTTTATCTTCAAGGTATATTATGCATGATTTATTTGTGCATTTGTTTTTGGAGCAATCCTTCGTCTGCATGAAACTATCCATCTGTAACAAAATACGTTTATACACACACATACACATAAAGTAGAAATGTCTCATTGTAGAATATAAATATTTCTAATAATTTACCTTCCATTTCAGTTCTCGGAAATTTTTTACATGATCGCGTATTTGCTCCTGAAAAGATTCAGATAACGTTACTTTCATAAAAGATCCGTGACATACCATAATTTTTAAAACTATTCATTAACACCTATTTTAAAAAACAATACTTATTCGACATGCACATTTCTTTATTAAAAATACACATTATCTCTTATTATTTCAACTATCACAGAAATATAGATTATTTAAAAATAAAACATTTGTTTACTTATACCTGTATTCCGCTTAAAATTGAATAATATATTGCATGTAAAGTAATAGCAATTAAACGTTTATTATACTCCAGACAACGAATCCTTTCATGTAGACTTTCAATAGCATCTCGTTGCAAGTCCAGCAGAATGTCTTGATTAGTTGCCTTTGCGTGTAAAAAATATAAATTAATATTTAGAAAAATTATGTTAATCAAGATATAATTTCTGATTAATATAAGTGATTTCTGTTTACCTCTGTGAAACATTCGTTATATTGATCTTGCGTCTCATCGATGCGTATCATTAGTTGACGTATAGTTTCATCCTTCTTACAAAGCTGTAAAGATATTATAATATATTCCTCTGTACAATCTATATTTTTTAAGTTTAGAAGTAGGACACTCACGCACGAACGTAGTTCATATTATTTTGTTAACTGCAAAATGCAACAGCTACAACTTGATCACCTAACATGTTAATCCAGGCAGCATGTTACGCTTGTACATGCCACAATCTCTTGTCACTTTGTAAACAGGATATTCAAATATGGTATCACAAAAGCTTCAAAATGTTTTAATTAATGAGCAAACGGCATGCATGGCACTCGTATTCTTAGCATTCGCAATATCACAACGTAAATGTAAATTAAAGGCAAAGAGAAATGTGATAGTCCACATATTTGTGAATCATATTTTTAATAAGCATTTATATATCGACAATATTTACAATTGTAATAAATACATATTAACGCGAAAAAACTATATGGCAATTTAACTATTTATAATTTATATTTAAACATCATGCACATTTCTATGACTAAAGGCTGCAGACGATATCGTTGGCCTCATCAGCTCACTCACATCACTCATCGTTTTATGAGTCATCTGATCCAAATTTCGTTTAGCTTCAACAACGGCATTTTGTAAATGCCCAATAGTTTGTATTTGAAGTTCATTCTGTAATACACCGCACAATGTTAAAAAATAAATCTTATTTCACAACTAAGCAAGATAACGAAAAGAAAAGACAAACCTGCTTCAACAATTCATTCTTTTCTCTTTCATATTGCACGATTGTAAGACTTTGTTTATCTATCTGTAAACAGATTTTTTTTAATATTCTAACATCATACATACCTTAAAATTTTATTCTTGATAAGCAGACAGAATTTTCGTGTTTGCATTTAATTAACGTTTAATACACAAGATACATTGAAAAAAACGTAAACAATTATGAGAAACAATTAAAACTCTCAATTAAAAATGATATTATGATCTTCAATTCAAAAACTATTCTTATATAGTATTATAACATCTTTTGCTTATTTAAAAAAACATGTAATCAATTTACCTTTTCTTGCAGCTTTTGATGTAGATCTTTTACTTCCGCTTGGCTCATTGTCAATGAATTACGTTGTATCCGTACGACTTCCTCCATATTTTCTAACTAAAATGAATTAAATTCTTTAATTTACATTCAATCATAAGTAATGCTTTTATATGTAATTATTCATAAATAAGGTCTAATTTTATTCAGATACAAGATATAAATATTCATATATATTTGCACTATTTATAGATTTATATAAAAAACAATAAACATAACTTACAAGTTTTTCTTTAGAATATACAGCACTTTTAAGTTTGCTTAATTCGTGAAAGCAAGTATCCAGTTTTTCTCTACATTTTCCTAACGAATCGGTCAAAGTCATAGCAGATTTTGCCGAAACGGAAGAAAGAGATGATTCATCACGTATCTGTAAATAGAGATTCATAGTAATCTCTGTAGCATTACTTAATATTAATGTGATAACAATGAAAAGATACAAACCAATTTTTTAAGTTCACTTTCAAAGTCTTGAACTGCCAATTTTGCAGATTGCACAGCATCTTGTATAGTTTTAAACAAGTGAGATATATTCTGAAAAAGAATGCAAATATTATGTGTATTCAATAAAAATAAAAAGAGAAATGTCATTTTTAGTCAAAGCAATTTTGGTGTTTAATAATATTCATGTGCATATATAATACAAATACAAATATTATTATTATTATATATATTATATTATATAATATTATTATCTTATAAAGACTTTAAAAGCAAATGTATATCTCTTACTGTTATCATAAAATTTCCATATAAATGTATAGCAAAAAGTATTAATTTCTATATATACTTTCAATAGTTACCTCATGTTTGGACGGATAATCACAACGTAAAAGTGTTGTTTCTGTGTCACACTCCGTATGCTTTACAATAAAAATGGAGATTTTTAATAAAAAAAAAAGAAAATTTGTATAATTGGAAAAATATGTATAATTGGAAAATTACTTACAAAAGCATTTGAAATTTCTGCAGATTTTTTAATATTCGCTACATTATTTAAATTTTTCCTAAGATCATTTTCTACTTCTTTTTGTGTTTTGATCTAAAATTATAATGTCAGCATCTATCTCAATAATAATTGTATATGTGGAAAAAGTAAATAATACTTACGGTATTTTCTAGTTCTATTATCTTCTTTTTTAATTCTATATTATCTTTGCTGTGACATTGTCTATAATTTTCTGCCTTTGTTCGTGTAGCAATCAGTTCCTTCTCTATAGAGTGAATATTATTCTTTAAAAAATTAATTGCTTCTTGTTTACATTTTGCCTGTTAAAGAAATTGTATAACTCAAAATTGAAAATAAAATTTTGTGTTTAATAATGTGAATTAATATTTACTTCATGTTGCAACATTCGAATTTGGTCTTCTAAATCAGTTATACGATTTTTCCATTTATTTAATCTTTCATCATATTTTATTTGGCATGTTTGCTACAAACATATACATATAATACTACATTTAAGTTGGTTAATAAATAATTTGCGCATAAATTGTTACAACTAACGAATAATTTATTTGTTAAATATAGTTTTTTCCAAAATATAAATTCAATTACCTGGATCATGTTGAGTTTTAGATCATCATAATCCTTTCTTAATTTATGTAAATCTTCTTTCGTTTTTATTATATCATTTACTTCCTACAAAGCATAGCATATAGATATACATGATGAATTAAAAAATAAAAAAAGCATTGATACAATAATTATACTTGTTTTAATACCTGATTATCGCAGGTATAATGAGAAAATTGTAAAATAATATTTATATTAAATTAATCATTTAATTATTTTAGTAATTTTTTTTTGTATATTATCTATATTTATACTTGAATGAAAAAACTTATTTTTTTTATTACATGAAAAAGTATTTCGTTCTATATCAATAATTTAATTTTAAATATAAACAAAATTTATAAAGCATTTAAAAAATCAACTATTTAAAATATAAAATAATTTAAATTAATAAATTGATAATTAAAAATTTGGATTTATATGTAAAAAAAATTTTCTTCTAAAAAATATTAATCAAATTTAAACAATCCTTTTAATCAATATACATAAAAGTTTTAAATAATAACCTTTTCCTCCTGTTTTGTGGAAAGAAACGTTTCTAACACATCTTGCATTTTTGTATGTGCACAATCGATTTCTTCTTCGAATTTAGCCAATCTGCATTCCCTTTCACAGAATGTCGTTTTTGCAATTTCGTTGTTTAACAACTGCATAAAAAATGGAAAATATATAAGATATTATTTTTACAAATGTGTGTACATTTTCTTAAGATACTTACGACTTCACAGGTTTTTTTCTGTAAATCCTTTAAAGAGCTATCTATAGTACACAGCTGACTTCTTAATCCTTTTAGTATTGACGTCACACAACCTCCCTAAAAGATAATATCTATATAATACTCAGATCAATATATTGTTAAGTTTGAACAAAAGCTGCTTTTCTTCTGATTTCTTTCTAAACCAACCTGAGTTTGAAATAATTGCAAATTTGTCAATATTTGTTCAACTTCTTCCGTTACCATAGTTAGTAAATCATTATTGATGTATGCTTCTGTATATTCGGATTCATTACATCCCTAAAATCCATTTTATACTTCATATATGACAAAATGATCGATAAAGTGTTTAAAATAATTATTTAATAAATATTCGGAACCTGTATATTCTCTTTCATATCATTAATGTAACGAGACAATTCTGATTGAACATGATTAATTTCATTCTTTGTATCCTTCAATTTAAGATTGCCACTCACGATTCTTTCGCTATGCCTTAATCTCTCCTCCTCCTAATAAAAAAGAAAGACATTTTTCAATAGTAGATTGCAGTAATAAAATTGTAATTAATTTATATTGTAACTTAGAACTGTATATTTCAATGATATTCATGATATGAGAGAAGCATATATTTTGATATATTATACGTATAAAAAATATTACTTGTAATTCTAGTCTGTTGATTGTTTCTATTAATCCTTCTCGTGTTCTTGTCAAGTAACTTTGCACACTAGTTACCATCTTGTTCAATTCTTCATACTAAAAATGTATTAATTTAGCATCAATCGCTAATTTTATCACAAACTTACGCCAGTCTATTTATTGATCCAGACGTACATTCTGGTGTCGTGAATTAAATGTTGAAACAACAGTGCTTATCTCCTCGCGAATGTCCTCTGTTGCTGCTTGAGCTTCCACGGTGCAAACTCTAAATTCTTCCATCAATTTAAATTGCCGTGCATTGTTCATGTTTGACTAGAAGAAGACGTATTATTAAATTTTGTAGTATAACACAAAAATATTAAAGTATCAAAATATGCATATCTTACTTTAATATTTTTAGAATCACCACATGCACAACGATTTTCTTCTTTCTTTATCTAGGAAAAGAAAGTATGTGTGATTAAAGTCAATTTAATAGTGTGGTTATCCTCACAAAATAATCACTAAATAAAATCGATATTTGTTATACTACACACATACCATACAATCAAAAACAGTAATTTCCTTTTGTCTCTCTAAATCTATTTTAGTAATAATTTCAATGCAATTGACCAGTTTGTCTGACATGTCACTTGTACAAAGTTTGTTCTTACTTATGCAATTGTTAGGTATGGTACAATCATCCATCTAGAAAATATGTATTTTTGTATTTTGGAAAAATGTTAATTATTTAATTTTATTTGCTAGAATAAATTCAAAATAATGAATAATATTCTATAATAATGTTTACTTTTTGTTACTCTGTTACAAAGAAACAACGTTTTTACCTCATCTTTAGTAGTCAATTTATTTACAAATTTCCCGAGTTCGAGCTTCAAATCCGATAAGATTTCACATTCTTTCTGTACATGTGTTTTTGTATTCCTTAGAAATGTTATAAATTCATCCTAAAAATAAATTAGATAATTATATTATGTCTAAATTTTTAGAAACGCGCGTACACATGTAAATAAATATAAATAACTTTTTTAAATGGTAAAAATGGTAAAACGAAACTGAAAACTAAATGTTTTACTTTGTAATTAAAAATTTCCTATAATTGAGTTTTACGTTGATTAAATTTTTTTTTATTTTATCCGCTTTATTAGACCTCTGTTAAACTATTTTGAATTTTGAATTTTTAATCTCAGATTTATATAATAATCAGAATAAAGCGTTACCAAATTATCCCATAGATCAAGAGAGTTTCATAAAAATTAAACAGTTTAAAAAATAAAAGGAGGTAATCACAAATAGGGTCGTTCATCCACAAAATTAAAACATATAATATTGCATAAATAAATCTTATTAGACTATAAAGTATCTATTGAAGGTGAAAAATATTTCTAATTAAACAAAAAATATCATTATTTTTATATATAACATTATATTATATATGTTTGCATTTAATTTGACTGACCTCTGGAAAATTATTCACATCAATGCAGACTTTTCGAGATGTATCCTGAAATCACGTTAAAAAAATAAATATATATATATTGATGAAACTATACATATATATACAAATAAAATTACTATATATATTATTGTATGAAGGTTTATGTTTGAATTTATATTAACTTGTAAGCGAGGCAATCATGTTGATTTACATTCTTGTTTTTATAGATATTGTATAAAAGAGAATAAATTTACTTTAAACACATATTACTGTGATGATAAATTGCATACTAATTCATAAATGCATAAATTAATTTATTTAAAATCTAAATATCTTATAATTTATTTATTTAAAAGTGCATCTTTATAGATTAATTTTATTATCGATACTATTTCATACGGATTTTAGAAAGGAGAAATAATGAGCAAAGTATAAAAATTTGTGTTTACCTTACTTCGCACATTTGTTTCTAAAAATTCTTATCAGAGAATATCAAATTTTGTTTAAAAATATTTAAATTTGTAAGATATCTTGATGCAGTAATTTAAATTCATTTCACTTTATTTCAAAAATGAATCATTAATATTATCTTGAACATGTTATAGACTAAACATAAGTGTTTGTTGTAATTCAATCTGGTAAATTGTTATCTTTACACGGAGGTGACAATTTTCTAGCAGTCTGTAGAAGTTTTTTATCAATATTCTTTATGCATTTATATCGACCAATTTGAGTATCTACGCGAAGTCGAGAATGGCTCTGTAGATTGAGCAATCTATTTTGTAACTTTGTATTAATCGTTGATAGACTTTGTTTGCCACAGTTTAATAAGACAGAATCATCATGTGAAAATGCAAAATCGTTCTTTCGCTGTGTGGATATATGTAGGAGGCTTGATACTGGAAATTGCTCAGGGGACTCTTGGGATGTTTTCATCTTAGTGATAGCAGTGATACGATTATTGGAATTATACTTGCAAGATCGGAAGATGGGTAAAGTCTTCTACAAATGTAGAAAATTGTAGATTTACATTAAAAACTTTACAGATATGCGTCGTACCTCTAAAGTCGTTTGCTTCAATTCTTTGCGCATTTCTTTAATCAAGTCATCCTTTAAAAGATTACCCATATTAGCATGATAATTTTGTTTTTCCAATGCTACAATTTCAGCCGTCAATGTATCTTTTGTTTCTGCAGCTTCCTAAAATCAGTAAAATATATCTATAAAAATAACAGAGTACATATATATACATATATGTATATAACTAAAACTTATATCAACAATAAAATTATACAAAAAATTAATTTTTTTAAATGTAATAAACTAACTTTTTCGAGGCGACTAATTTTGTCCTCCAATTGTTGAACTTTCTTACATTTTTCTTCCAGTTGTAGTTGTAAATTAACTGTATCAACATTGTTTTCGTAAGAATATACTATAAGTTTAGATTCAACATCCTGAAGTTGTCGAAGTAAGTTCTTGTTTTCCCTATCTTTCGCATCTAGTACACTTTCCAGAATGTCAGGTGTTAAGATAATCTGAACAGCAACATAAATTTAAAAAAACTCTTTCAATCTTTAATATTGAATATGCACAAGCTATATCTTATATCTTGCCTATAAAATGTAAAGCTTAGCAAACAAATAGCAACAAAAGCAATTATTACAATATATTAGAGTTGGTCTTTGCTCTTTCTAATTTTTATGCTACAACATGATTGCCTCTAGATTAACTCTATAGGAATCCCAGAAACAAATTCAAAAACTCATTAAAATAAATTTCTATCTGCATAATAATTATAAAAAATGCACTTACATTAGAATCTTGATCAAAAACTAGTGGATAATTAATAACTTCATTCGTTTGTTTAGCATGTTCCTTAAGTTTCTCGCAAAAACACTGAAGTCTAGAAACATATTTTTTTATAGTATCATCCTTTATTGACAGTTCTGTTGTAAGATCTGCTATTTTTCCTTCCAATTCCAATTGAGATCTGGAAAATGTGTTTACATATGTTTAAAAGAAAGATATAAATATGAATATAAAAACTTTATAACAAAAATTAAAAAATATAGGAATGTGATAAGAACAGAATTATATTTAGGTCTATACAAATATAAAGATTTGAAATAAATTATAAATATTTAAGAAATAATAATAATGTTACATATAACACACATTTTCACATCTTACCTGATCATTTTGCTTTCATTTTCCTGAAGTTGTTCTATTTGCAGATTCAAAGATTTTATATGATCAGTATCTGTCTGTTCCTAATTTGAAGATACATATAATTAAATATAATATATAAAATATATTAATATAATAATCAAGATTTCTCAAAAATATAATACTTCAGCAAATGGGGCTACTGACAGTTTATTCAACACAAATATATGTATATATGTGTATGTGTATATGATTATAATTTCAATTTAATAAAGGTGTAGGGAGCTAAGAAAAACTTTTGGATCTTGTATCGTGAATACATGGTACAGTATTACATGCTTTTGCTTAACAAGCAACTTGATCTCTGAAATTTTTCATGCTCTATATCTAGGACAAATCGGAGCTTTCTGGCTGCATTTACACACATATTTACCTGATTGCAGATGCAGCTGAAACAACACAAAAAAATTTGTCATTAAATACTTTATGATAATGCAATATATAATAAAAATATAGCAAAATATCTTATGTTAATCCTCCATGGTCCAACATTTTTTTCACTACTTTCCTAATCCAACCAGATCACTGGAATACCTGATTGTATTTTTTTTTTAAGTTTTTGAATTCTAAAAAATCTAAAAAAAATTTTAATACATTCTTTGAACATTTAAGAATACAATTTTACAGTATGATCAAAAATGATTTCACTTTTCTATGTGTCCGAATTTAAGGCAGAATAATTCAAGAATGAAAATTTATCTGGATCTTCAAATCTCCAGCTGGATCATGAGGATTAATTGATAACAAGTGATTAACTTACTCTGGAACTGGAATATCCTCAGGTTGAATCTCAAAGAACTTGATACCTTCAAGGCTCCAAACGTTTTGCCGACGCGCACGACGAATCACTTCTAATAATCCCCTAATATCACTTTGCAGATATTCTATTTTTTGTTGTAAATATTCCTCGTCCTTTTCCAGCTGACTGACGCGATTCGAAAGTGTATTTAAAGCCTATAACATAGAGACGATATGTCTTGATTTCATGATGAGATTATTAAACAAAACTAAATAATCTCTCTTACTTTTTCTGAATAATCAGATCTTGTTAAATTATCCACGACCATTTGCGACGATTGTTTTAGTTTCTCATCTAGTAATTTAACTCTACTACACGCAGCCTGCTCCAAATCCTCTACTGTATGCACTAACATCGCATTTTGTTCTCCTAAATCTTTGATCCAGTTGCTCATTACTTGTAACTTCATCTGCAAAGGAATTGTTTGATGAACCGTTTCAAATACAAATAAAAAAATAATTACTAAGCCGCAATTAAGAGAATTTAAAGACTGTACACATAAAAAGTACAGATAGAATTGACAATAAATGCAAACTAATAACAAAGCTACTGCTTACAGAGACTCGATCGGAATCGCCGATCGATTCCTGATCGATCTTTTCGATGCGACTCTCGTACAATTTGCGAAACTCATCGAGGATACGTAGACCCTCGATCTCTCCGCACGGCTCGCCAACGTCGGCTGTTCTACAGTCCGGGTCCCGCTTAACGGTCGGGACGTCACTCGCATCCGTAGAGCTTGACAGATTGGAGCTGATCGAGTACATTGCTTTCTGCGAATGCGATCACTGAATAGATTTAAGTCTCCCTACACCTGGATTCGACGAGAATGCGAATCAATGTCAACACACTATCTCCATTTTAGCGATCGCAATGTCGTTCATGAGTGAGTCAAAGTACAGGGTATAACGAGAGCGGTGCTCCAGTGTTTACTAGAGATCCTGTGATATAAGAACTCACTCTAGTGAAAACAGCTGGTAACGGCGGAGCATTCATAATAAATAGTTTCTGATTGGTGGCCGCGTGGTGAGAATCGGGTATAATGTTGGATCTGAGGCCATATTTTTGAAAAATACCGTATATGAATATAGATACGAAAATACTATATATTTTGTATGTTATCTATAACGGTTAATGGAGTGTATAGTCCCATGGACGTGTGTGTGTTTAAATCTATCATTTTAAAAGGAACAGAAAAAACAGATAGTATTTAATAATATAAATAAAAATAAAATGATCACTGATTACCAGGGACAACGAATAATCAGAAATTACAGTATATAATTAGAAATTTTTGTTAAAATTTAATACCGATTAATAATGCATTATACGCGTTTTTGCAAGGCGTCGCGCGACTGCGGTACGGTGCAGGTTGAACGGTGCAAGGCGCGCATGTTCGGCTCGTCTTCCACCTGAGTTCCACCATGGTTCGCAGTCGCAGTTCGTGGAGCGCGTTTGCGGGGTACGGGGTACTCGGAGTGCGAGCCGGATAGACCCGCGACGAGGATGGGATTGCCGTGTGGTGACAATGAATCGCGTTACGAGTCGCGTCCGCGGCCGACCGCGTAGCTCAGGTGCGACCATAAAGCCAAAAGTAAGATCGGCCGACGTGAACGCGGCACCGAGGCGTTGCCCGCGTTGCCGCCTCGTTCTCTGACGAACGTCGGTCCTCCCCAAAGAGAGAGAGAGAGAGAGAGAGAGAGAGTGAGAGAGAGGGAGAGAAGTGAGAGAGGGAAAGGAAAGAGAAGGAGTGAAAGAGGGAGCTCTCCTCTTAGCGGAGAAACGGGACGCGAGGAGGTCCCCGTCGAGCGAGCTGCTTTTTTTGGCGAGCGTCGCCGACATGAGCCAGACGAGTCGTGGACGAGCGAGTCGCGTTACCAGTCGCACGAACTGCCCTGTCAGCTGATCGTTTATCGCACAACGAAATGTGAGGTGTTACCTATTTATCTACCTATCTATCTACCTACCTAACGTCAAGCCAAGAACGTCGTACTGCTTCCGCGTATCGCGGCTCTGATTCACGCAGCCCGCGTTTCTCCCCGCGTGCAAACTGAGACTGAGCGCGACCACGCGCGCCAAGTGCGACAGGCGGGAAGCACAGGGGCACCTAGCACCCGGTTAGAATTTACATGGGAACATGGGGAACAAGAATAGCTGTTGCGTCTACTCCAGTCCACAGGTTGGACGCAAGGAGGTAGGGCTCGAGAGCACCACGTGCAACCTAGAGGAACACTTGCCAGAAGGTGGGATTAGCGTTAATAATTTGCAACATATCAGTGAACGTGAGCCAGAAGACTGGGACTCCGATCCGTCGTTACACCCATGTGCGGGAACTATTTTTATGGAGCGTTCCAAGCAAGCTATCGAAAGTGGGTATATTTTAGCAGAAACAGCAGACTCATATTACATATTTAATCATCCCCGGTCTCTTTTCTAGATGGCATGGTGAGGAAGAAGAGTCAACATCAAATAGCAGATACAAGGCCTTTGAAGAAGAGTAGCAGCTGCAGTACAATATATTTAGATGACAGCACGGTTTCACAACCTAACTTGAAAAATACCGTCAAATGTGTTGCCTTAGCCGTTTATTATCATATTAAGAATAGAACTTCGCAGCGACAGATCGATATATTCGATGAGAAACTGCATCCATTAACGGTAATAAACGTCAAATTATACAAGAGATTGTTGGTGCTTTCTAACAAGAGACACAATGATCATTTCATCTTTGTTTAAGATTGATATGACATGTGTCATATGATAAATTTTTTAAATTATTTAACTGTAGGACAAAAAGATTCGAAAACCTCTCTGTCTTATTGCCAAACAACAAGCTTAAAAAGTTTGATCATATGACACAAAGTATTAGGCTAACGTTGGCAAATAACAAGGATAAATGTTATTGTGTTACACTGTGTCATCTGTGTTTCTTAGTGGAAAACGCCTAGTGTATTAGCTGCTTCTCTAGACCAGTAATTTATTTCTATTTTGTTTTTATATGTCTTTATATTTTCTGATATTTACTGATTTAATGTCAATTACATAATTGATGTAGAAAAAAGTCTTAAGATTTTCTTGTGCAAAATTATGGAACAATGCTTGAAATCTATCTTTCAGAGGGATGGTGTTTCAGAGGATTATGATAAACATAATCCGGAGCACAAGCAGATATATAAATTTATAAGGACTCTGTTTAATGCCGCTCAGCTTACTGCTGAATGTGCCATCATAACGTTGGTTTATCTTGAACGCCTACTTACTTATGCAGAAATAGACATAACACCGGCTAACTGGAAACGTATAGTACTTGGAGCTATTTTATTGGCGTCCAAAGTTTGGGACGATCAGGCGGTATGGAATGTGGATTATTGTCAAATATTAAAAGACATTACGGTGGAAGATATGTAAGTCTATTTTCAATTATATTTAGATTATTGTATTTGTTTATTTTATGAAAATAATTATGTAATTTCTAATTAGGAACGAATTAGAGAGACAGTTTTTGGAGATGCTGCAGTTTAACATAAATGTTCCTTCGAGTGTGTATGCTAAATATTATTTCGATCTTCGTACACTCGCGGAAGCGAACGAATTAACATTCCCTAGTGAACCACTAAGTAAGGAAAAGGCGCAGAAGCTGGAAGCTATGTCCAGAGTTTACGAAGATAAGGTTACAGCCGAGGCTCTACGTACTGGTATTAAAAAGTGGTCCAGCTTAGATAATGTATGCATAGGTGGACCTAGACGTAGCATTGCTATTTTATCCTAAACATATGTATGGATATAAACGGATGTAAACACAGGCGCATGGTTACTGCTCCGATTTTAAATGGAGGTATGTGAAATTTTGTAAACTATTGTTACCGATCGATTTTAATGATTTTTGAAAAAGATTGTTTGGATTCTACCAAACATTTGTGTTACACTTCTGTTTAATTAATATTGTAGAATATTTGATGTATTATATACATCTCTTGGCAAACTGTTTTTACATATTGTCTAAACTAGATGTATTGTATGTATACCGTATGTACGGCTAAGATGTACCATAATGGAAGAATTTCCATTGCAAGTATGGTTTGCAATAACAATCTTAAACCTAATTGTTATATATATACTCTAAAATTTAGATGTTTCTCAATTATAATTTCCAATAATATATAATTTGAATTATTTTTGTCTGCATTAAAGAATCGTAAAAATACTTTGATAGAGAAATTTTATATTGGCCTTCTTTCTAGATACAATTTCTAATCACTTTTATTAATTTTGTTATACCATTAATTATGAAAAATTATAAATATTAATCTTATTTGTCAATAAATATCAATATATTTCTGTTGATTGTGTGCAAAGATTCTACTATCTAGGACCTTATAATGTGGATATAACAAAGCATACGAGAATGTGAGGCGTATTGAAACAAAGGGTGAGAAAGAAAAAATTTTTAGTCGTAGCATTATCTGTACTGTCCTTATGGGAGAAAATAACTTGTGATATATATTAGTCAACTATTCATTATCCAAAGCATTTTATATATTGACTGAATTTAATAAGAATCAAAGTGATGGCTGATTTACTAATAACATTCTAAAAGACGAAAATATATACATGCATGCTTCAAATTAAAGATTGTCGATATTTATTAGTAACGTTACATAATTTATCGAGATAATCCAATCAGAAATTTATAAACCAAAGTTATAATACATGTCATTATGGTATATGTCTAAATTATTTTTAAATATATTGATATATTTCTTCGATTCGCCTATCTTTTCACTGTCACATACATCGAAGGATTATTATGAGAGAAGTTATGGATTTAAAAAATGAATCATACACTTTTTTACGAGATATACGAGATCTGTTCTTTATTGATAATCTTTCTGAACTGGTGCAATAATATTGCAATAAAATGAAACAAATATAATTTGTTTTATTTTAACTTATTGCATCGTATACATCTGCTATTCAGAATATCGATCATGTAACTTTTTCCCTAGGGTGGAAACGTGAAAATCTTTTGTATGATGTATGTATATGTTCATACATTTATAAAAATGTTCACTTTTCACGTTTCCGCTCTAGAGAAAAAATTACATGATTAATACTTAGAAAGTTCTTCAATAAAGAACAAGCCTATAATATTTCTAATGTATTTTCTTTTTTAAATGTATTTTTACAATATTAGTACAAAAATAATTATTGATTTTTATTGATTTAGAATTATTACTATTATTAGAATTTTTTAATTAATAAATGTACAGCATGACAATTTATTAAAAAATTTTCGTCATTTAATTCAATATATCGGATTTGATATAGATGATTTAAGTAATTTGAATAATAGTACATAGCAAGAAAAAGAACACCATTTACAATAAATATATTATAGCGTAAATATTAGCAAATCAGCCTTTATAGCTTATTAAGAATAAAGAGCACGATAAATTAGAGTCTGAATAATTGCTTTTATATGGCGCTACTTCCATGGATTTATAACTTTAGATAATGCGCGAGATAAGGATAAGCCATGATATCAGGGTTGCATCTTTTCTCTCTTATAAAACTACTCAGTCTGGTGCAAGGTGTGTGTGTGTGTGTTATTCACATTATTAATAATAGAATTTCATTTTAATCAATTCCTATTCCTATTCTATCACAATTATTGAAAAGAAAATTCGATATCAAGTTCACGTTTGTGTATTCTTTTTATAATGCAATACGCATTATTTTTAGATACTTTACAGAGAATATATGAGTAAATTCATCATTCTTATTACGAAATCATAAATATCGCATTTTTATGGCTATAAAATTGCTATAGATATTTAAATCTCACAATTATGTAAAGTATTTATTTCGTAATGCATGCAATTAAATCTTCCAAAGAGATCATCCAGGAACGTGATAATTAAGGAAAAAAAGAACCTAGAAGTTGTGTATCATATTCACATTTTACTATGACAAAGTGAAATTAAAATACTATTAATGTACTATTAATGTAATCATGTATCATACGTGCTACTAATTGACTTATGTACGATATAATTTAATATTTTGTACCTACCGGTTAGAACTTTAAATATAAGATAGTCTTATATATTATATGACTGGTTACGTCTATAAGAATTAAAGTATAATCTGAAGTTCCGTTGGATTTTCAGAATGCCGTTGGCGGAGGAAGAATAATTACGATTTATTATTATTTTTATATTTTATTACATGAATGTCAGAGTGCTGTAACGGTCGAATTTATGATAGAACGACTGTAAAGTCCAATGTATGTGGGAGGAAATGAAGTAATGTACGTTTCTCAGCTTTTAACGTATTGTACAGTATATGCTGGATGATGAATGTAATGTAACATATTTGCAATTTCTGTCCACATTATAATTTTTCATTTTGCCTGTCTGACAAATAAAAATATATTTTTACTGCATTACTATATTATAGGTAACTACATATACGCTATGTATGCTGTGGAAGTGTTTATACAAGTTTACAGAGCAATTAATATACCGTGCGATGCCAAAATGTTGTTAAAATTATAATGTATAGACAGTTGCACATAATACACACACACACACACACACACACACACACATATGAAAATGTGTACTGCACTGTGGTTTCCGTTTGTTTATATTACATTCTGATTTTCCGACAAAAACTAGATCTTTATAGAATTTTCACGCGCTATTTTTATAAATAGATATTCATTATGAAGACAATCTTCGAGTCTTATTGCGTCCTGTAAATAAATTGCCGAATTCATGTAATTAAGATTCGTAAACGTATGTATCATAAACCGTACCACTTTGTTAGTAGTTACCCGAGCATTGGAAAAAAATACTTTTGCGCTTGAAGGTGATGTTTCGCCGAGGGTCGCCTTTAAGTCTTCCATCCTAGCGTCTGTACAGATTCTCCTACAGTACTTTAACTCTACGTAATATTATGTTTAACATATTATGAGACCGATGCTTTTATAACATAGATTTGTGATAAATAGATATATCAATACATTATATCGTTTTGTACATATATATATATCTGCATAAAACATAGCTGTATCTATTTTCATTGTAAATTTTATTGTCCGATTACAGAAGCAGATATTAAGGCTATGAAATTTATACTCTATCGCATCTTTTCACTGTTTACTAAAAAAAGATAGATAGCTAAAAGTCTCTCTTTTTCCTACACTTGCCCGATATAAAAAATATGGATGCTTCCGCTTGAACACAGCACTTTCATATAATTATCGAATTATATAAATGGCATTCTTTAGCAACGTAAAACATAAATCATTTACCTTTTCAGTACAGTTTCCCTTTCAACGTTCTATCTTATTCTTATTTACGCAATTGGAAGCGATGTGACATAGAAAGTGGTGTGTGCGCGCGTACGTGTGATAATTAAGATGTATAAAACGTATGGTTGTTTTGCAAAGAAATTATTATTGATAATGATTATACACAGAAATACAATTACATGTTATTCAACTATGTATACAATAGTTATACCGAAATCCGATGACTGTATACACAAGTGGAGCCATTCTCATCTTTCCGAAAAGCGCCAAATTTCTAAAAAGACACGCAATATTTCTTACAAAAATAAAATTGTGCCTGAAATAATTTACTTAATCAATATGTATATTTGTATTTGTATATTATATCCTAAGCCAAAACTTTTAACATATATGTATAGATGTATAAAACGAATATATATGAAATTTTAATAAATATTTCATCTCTCGTAATACAAAAGTAAAACGAACAAAAACTTATCTCATTTCAAAAAATTACATTTATAAATATTTCTTTTCAGTTAATAAAGTATATAAACAAATATATAAAAATCCACCAGACAAAAGTATTGCAAAGAGATGGCACGATAAATTGCTCTATTTCTTATGATTAAGATAATAAAAATGGGAAGTACGTTCTGAATGATTTATTTCATGGCATTAATGTCCATTCGATCAGTAAATACATATTAATATTATATAACGACCCAATTCCCCACATTTATATGTATATATAGTATATTATATATATATTATATAATATACTATATATATATATACACATATGACAGAAACTTCTCTAAAAAATGACAGTCGTATCACTACAAATTCAGTCTAATAGAAACTATGTAAGAGTACTTTTTAAATTATAGGAATATAAAAACTACATAAACTATACAATAGTAATTAATTAATAGAACATATATTATTTTATATCTATACATTTTACACTTCTTACGCTTCTTTGCGAAACATAAAAGAAATGATAGCATAATATGGAAAAGAATAAAAATACAAATTTAGTCCGTAGCAGTCTCATGCTATTTATCACTGTCACACACTCTGCCTTGATAATCAATTGCGATAAAAACTTATTACCGCACGGCATATGTTCTTGGCATATATTCTTCCTTAAAATCTATCAAAAAGAATTCATTTAGGGAGTGAACCGCGATATTGTATTACGTCTTACGTGTATGACACATTCATTGTAAGCATTATAATACGAAGAAAATGTTTACTTCCATCTTCATCTATTACGGGCATAGAATCACTGCAAGATATTTAATTGTCCAGTGTTTGTTGCGTAAACCATCCCTTGGCCCGGCTGCGGCGCCCATCTAATACAATTTAGACTGAGGTAACTGGAGACCTCCCGGCAGTTTTGAAATAACTCCCGAATAAGCACCATACTTTCTCTGTGACGTTTTATATCCATATCAAACTCGTTTCTCTCCCGAATCCGCCAGTTTTGGATGTGTGGTCTAGAAGTGTTGGCTGTAATATTATTTCGTCTTGGAACATTACTCGTAGAAACGTTATCATCGAGCATCTCGTCGAAGGAATCGTATAATTCCATGGTCGGATCTGTCGACGAAACATTCTTCTCATCGTCGGACTGTTTTTCCATCAGCTTGTAAATCAGAGCCATTGGAAAAGGCCTAGCGGGCACATGAATCCTGCGTGCCAAACCTACCAAGAGATGTTGTTGTGTGGGCGATATCGAGACGGATACCACGGTTTGATCAATATTGGTCGAATGAATTTTTTCTCCTAGCGTTTCCCATTGTAGGCTGTAAATACCTAAATCAAAACAGTAAGCAATATAGCCTTAGATAATTTAAAACAATCAAGTTGTTTCCTGTATAAATAATGAAAAAAATACGCAGCAATACGCAAAGTAAAGGAATACGTTCATAGTATTTGTTATACTGTTTTAATATAATACTACCCCTTGTGAAGTTATCATTTAAAATTATTTCCCTGCAAGATTATTGGTGCGAAAAAGATGTGATACAAAAATAAGAAATTATCCCTTTAAGATTAAAAAAAACGTTAAATACACGTGCGTCGAGAAAGAATTGTTATTATTTTAAGAATACACACACACGCGCGCGCGCGCGCGCGCACACACGTTTGAATTTCATCGATAATAGAGGTCAATACGCATTTCTTGCTTACCTAATGTGGTCGACACATTAATACGACCCGACTGTAGAAGCGTCGCTAGTAATTTTCCATCCGTGGATATATCAATACTAGCATCGTTATGAATCTTACATTCACGCACCACAACATTTTTCTCAGCTGAAAAATTATATTGGCATATATAAACGTATGTAGAAGTATATAATTATGATAAATTTATATTTGACATTTTTTTACTAACAGTCTGTAATATCAGGTATGTCACCATTGGAGAAGTCCCATGCTTGAACGCGATAAGTTTGAATTTCCAACGCTGGGTTGAATGGTATACCCATAGGTATATGTTCTAAAGAAATTATTTAATTTTTTTATATCTTCACATGTATTGCATATATGCGTAATGTATTTAAAAATAAGTTCAATTTTTTAACAATATTATATAGAAAATGTTATGGACAATAATCTTATATGTAAAAAAATAAACAGAAGAAACAGAAGAAAATCTTTTTGATACAATTTTTTGATATGATCTCTTTGTATGAGATTTTGTTTTGAGAAATTAATCTTAAAAGTTGCATATTAGTTAATAATATAATTTTATTTCGAAATTACCATTATTTGCACTAGTTTAATGTTATCAAAATAAAAATTCAACATTTCGAAAACAGTAGGAAGTATTTAAAGTTGTTGAACAATTAATCTTATTCATAAAATAAGATAATTTTTTTAAATTTGTAAATTTTTATAAACTAAATATTATATTTTGTTTATATTCTAATAGCTACTCTGTTGAAACGAATTAATCAACTTTTTATCAATATTGCTTTCTTTTTGAATATACCACTAATAATAGATTATTCTATATCGTGATATCTACAAACTTAGAAAAAATGTACCAAAGTCCCAATAATAATCGTTTTCATCATTTCCTGGATCCTGTCCCCCTCCTCCTCCTCCGCCCCTTCCTCCTTCGCCTCCACCTCCTCCTCCTCCACTTCCTCCTCCACTACCACCACTTCCTCCTCCTCTTCCTCCTCCAGTGCCTCCTCCTCCACCTACTCCACCACTTTGTCCTGCACCTCTTCCTTCATTTCTTCCTCCGCCTCCTCCACCATCATCACCACCGCTACCACCATTATTGGAATTAGTAGCATTTCCGATTCGTACATTATGCACTAATCCTGAATTATTTACGAATTCAGTGTAGCGAGGTATCCAAGTGGGACCAACCCGATTGCGCCACAACGTTAAGAACGTTGGAGTCAATACCTGATACAAAAATTAATAATCATTAAAATACTTGTTTAGTCTTCGAAGAAGCGAGGATCGAATCTATCATTTATCAAAAGACGGTAAAATAACAATTCATAAATTGATGTCAAAAATGATTTGTGTATCATAAATGTTTATAAGAATTAAGTCATTAAAAATGCACGGAACTATAATTACTTGTCAGGTAATGTTTGGGTATAAAATCGCAAATGTTCCAAAATTTGTACTATACCCGAGTTCTATTATTGTTCGATTGTCCAGCCCAACTTGGTCCTGGCTGATCTGTGGACTCGTTTGTCCGATCGTTGTTTCTGTTATCAGCATTATGGAGAATATTATTAATCAAATACGGCGGAGGCGTATGCGGCGGAGTTGGAGGCGTATTTTGCCTTCTTCGTGGATTACTAGACAGATTATCTAAGTCGTTCACGGGCACGTTGTTTACCTGTAGCTCGGGAACATTAAATTCTCGTCGGAGAGACGAACCCTCTCTACTTTGAGGGAATCTACGATTGTTATTCGAGTCAGAGTTACCGTATCTGTGCAAGAAAGGACGCTCGAGCAATGACGGACACGCAACCCGTGCATATTGACGAGTCCAACGAGATCTCTGATGCGACGATCTAGCACTTTGTTCATCTCCTGATGAAGTGTAAACAAGGCAATTTCTCCAGCTCTCGTTGGCATGTGTAGCAGAGTCGGTCTCCTGCGGATCCCTTGATTCGTTAATACGTCTGACCGCCGGCTCAGATACCGTAGCGTTTCTGTAACTCCGTCGATAGCTCTCGTTTGAATTTCGCGACTCATTTGCAGCGTTCATCGTATGATTTTCAACTCCTACCCTGGTCTCGCTGCGGTCATCGTTGTCGATCGAGCTGCTACTTTGAATTCTTTCCACGATACTCTGTACTTCTGCTGACAAGGCGTTTTCAGAAGTTGACTGTCGATTATCTTCGTTTTGCGTATTATCATCATAATTGTTATCGTCGCCGTTACCGCTAGATCTACCTGCTGCTGTATTGCTAGTTTGATTTCCGGAAAAACCATTAATGATTTGAATTGCTCGTCGGTGATAAGATAGCCTTTTTAATCGTCGCGCCAGAATGCGGTAACGTATGTTATTCCCATGTAATGAAAGAAACTCCTCCGCACTTGGCATTTCAGCACGATTTCTCGATAACCTTTCCCTATACGTGTTTCGTCTTGGCGCGTTATCGTTAGCACGACGCGGACTTTCCGTTTGCAGACTATTGTCAACACTATTATTGCGCGTGTCGCTTCTGTTTTGGTTGTCAACCGATAAATCAGAAGGGAAAGGTCCATATTGACTAGATTCTAGTTCTCGTCTTGTTATTACTAACTGCGCCAGCAATAAATCTGTTAGCTCAAGTGCGAGATGTAACAATACATACAGCTCTGAGAAAAAAAGAAAATAAATTGATATAAATCAACAATCCAAGAGATGTGTAATCTAGAGAATGTAAAAAACAGAATTATTTCGTAATTTTGTGCATAATAAAGTCAAATTTGAAAATTTCAGATATTTTTTTACTTTATATTCTTAAAAACGACATTAATTTCTCAGTAAATTAATAATCTTGAAAAAACGAAATACTACATATAAAAGTTTTATCTTATTTTGGGCTTATTTTTTCATATAATGAATATCATTTTTTCTAATTATATTTTAATATCTGCATAATAACCAATAAACTTACTATACATCTGCTCATAGAGAACATTACTTTGGGATCCGTTTCCTGATCTTCTTACTTCGAAGAATTGGATTAAAGATCGTACCATCAAACCAAGAACTTGTCTGAAATAGTATTAACTGGAATATATTCACTATTATAACACATAACAGTTCCTGAACATGACGTATGTATTCATTCAATATTTAATGCCATTATATTTAATATTAATATACTATATTAGTATACAATAATATTGTAGCACAATTACGCGATGTTGTTCTTCCTACCTAGCTCTCAATCTTGTAGCTTCACGAATCTCTTCCATTTCTCGATTATCGTTGTCTCTGTTTGTTTCGGATTGACGATTATTACCGTTTAACCTTCTGCCGCTGTTTCGAGCCAAGGCCCTTTGTTGTCGAACCAGCATTTCTAGTCGTAGGATCATCTTTTGCAGACGTTTAGACGTATTCGAACCTAGCATTCTATCCCGGATATCTATATCTACATCTAAACCGTCATTATTACTGTTGCCATTGCCATTATTCTGAGTATTTCTGCGTAAGTACCACGGTCTTCTAATATGCTCGCACTGACGAAATGAATTATTGGTGGACAGAGACCTAAGACGTTGCATAAAACGATGCGATCTTAGCGATCTCTTCATTCTATATCTTAGCATCATGTTTCTGAAAAAACGAAATTTTTAAACAAATTTACAATTGATTTAGAGAGACAATACATAGTATGTTTAGTTATGTAAATTATTGAAATATATAAATATTTCTTTAAATGATAAAAATTCGTGAAAAGATCTTTCCAGAAAGTGACACTTTACTTTTTAGTAATTTAAATATAAGTCTGAAATAACTTGTTCTATATTTTTATATCTTTAAATAATATTTTTATGGTCTATAAAAAATATAATTATTTAATATTTTTAAAACAAAACGTAGTTTTGAAAAAAAAAATATATATATAACTACCGGAAAGATATCCTTTCATGACTATCACGCACAGTGTTGTTCATCTCCTGATAGGTACTTGTACCTAGGTACTGTAACTAGGTACAAATTTACGTACCTAGGAACTGTACCGAGGTACGTTTTTTTCTGGTACCTATACCTAGGTACCATTTCTTATGTACCTATATTTAGGTATACTTTAGTTACTTTTTGGATGATACTTTTCTGCACTAAGAACCGGTTTCATCATGCATCACCGGTTACTTGATCGGTCAATTAAATTTAAGTTGCAAAAAAAAACTGTTGAACTAAATTTATTAGAATAACATAAAAAAGAAATTGTAAACGTTTTAACTTTTAATTTTTAAATCATTAGTACAATTTAGGTAGATATATAGTGTTTTGTGAACTAGGTTTGAACTTTATTTAATTTGATATTAAAAATTATTATCTAAATTATATTAATGTAAAATAATGACCTAAAAAATTAAGATCTAAATGTTTACGATTTTTTAAATGTTATTCTAATAAATTTATTTACACATTCATATACTGTGTTAGCTCTTTGTGTAGAGAGATTTTACATTATTAATTTAATTAATTTATTCAAGTATTTCATTTCATAGTATTATTTTTTAAAATAAGTAAATGTGTTTCACTTATGTGTCAATAAATTGATTATTCGGATAAAATTAAAATAGTTTTATAAATTAAACTTGCATAGAACATTTATGTACGTACGTACACATAAAATACATACATATATGTATAATAAGTAAATATTACGTGCAGATACATGAAATATGTAGATCATATCTAACAAGCAAGTTGTCGAAATTACATTTTGATATCAAAATAACGTTAGAAATGTTATTTTGTCATCAAAATGCAATTTATTCTGAGATTTTATATTAAAAATAAAAGTACCTGTTAGGTACCTTTAAGGTACATTTAAAATACCTGTACCTGTATCTAGGTATTTTATTTTTTTAATACTTGTACCTATACCTCGGTACATTTTTTCTAGAATACCTGTACCTGTACCTAGGTATTGAAAATAGAGTACCTTGACAAACCATGCATTCTATTAATTCCGTCCATTGTAGATTTGTATAACGACATGGAAGCTGTGGTACGAGTTGACGTCCCAGGTTGATTTGTTGGATACTCCATAGGAGGATCAAAATTAATATTATTATCGTCATTGGTATCGTTGTTGTTGCCGATTGTAGAGTAATCAATATTCGTATCCGATGCCTGGGTCGATCTACTGGGACCAGCACGATCGAGACTGCTGACGAAACTCGAGATGCTGGGTAACGGCTCCGATTCGGTTGTGGTTATTGCGGTAACCGCTGGCAGATTCGAGTTAGCTCCAATATTCGACACAACACTGGACATACTAGGCAACTGTACGTCGCCATCGGTTGTCAAACTGGAATACGTGTGATCATTCATTGCCCGCGTATCACGTGAATCGCAATTCTGACAGCGCGAGGTGAGCCGTGCGTACAACCCGTCTAGCATTTCATTCAGTTTGAGACATTGCATCCGCCGTAGTTCGGTATCGCTCGGTAATAGATTCGAGAGACTTATATTGGTACTCTCTTCAATATTACGAGTGCTAGACATTGGCTCGTTCTCGTGATTTCTTTCGAGACCAGTTACTCCGCTCGACGTTGACGGTTGACTTTGATCGTACGATCTTGTATCACCATCGCCCTCGCTTTCTCTCTGATAGTTTTCCAGGAGGGCTTTCTTAAAATTCCTCGCCGATTCATTAGACGAACTTGCAACCGACGTTGATGGACCGGGATTGCTGGTAGCGTTGTCTCGTTGCGTCTCTGTTTGGTTGTCGTTCTGCCTTTCTACACGGACCGTCACATGCAACGATCGTATCTGTCGTTGCAGATCCTCCCACATTTTGCGCACTTGACACAGCTGAACTATTTCTAAACGTGCTCTGTTAATGAATTGAGAAAATTGTTATTTTTGATTGACACAGAAATCAAAGGAAGCAATACAACGAATTGTAATTCATTTTCTAATGTTCTTTAAATGATAGTTTTAACCGAAAAATTTCATCTTCATTAATTATGGCATTATAAAATTACGTTAAATACAATTCAGAATATTTATATATGATTTATATAATAATTACATAAAATTCTACAAGATGCTGAGATCGTCAACTTGTACTTACCGGCACAAACGGTGCATGTTATTGATGTTATTGATGTGACGATTGAGCAATTGAATTCCTTGCCGAACTCCTAGTGAACTCTCTCTTGGATCTATATTATCAGCACCAAGCATTATTGGATCTATAACATAGTCGAGATCCGGATCATCTGCATTTCGTTGGTCTTGGTTCTGTTGTTGTTGTTGTTGTTGTTGTTGTTGTGATGGCGGTGGTGGCGGTGGTGGTGGTGGTGGTAGTGGTGGTGGTGGTTGTTGCCTGTCGCTCACTGTCGATTCATCCTCGCGGCTAGTTACATTAGCGATTCTCGTTACAACGGGATCGTTAACCATTCTTGACAACTCCGTAAATCCTGCTAATGTCGTATGCGTTGCGTCTGAATTAGATGTCTGTGTTTGAAGCGAAGTACTGTCAGAGCTGCTGATAATGGGCGTTTGATTTTGTTCTAATCTTTGGGATTGGTTTTCTCGTAAGCTTCTAAACGGAAACAATGGCGGTTGTTCGTAACGAGTAGGATTTGCAGACACGGGCGACAATTGGTTCCTCTGTTCTCTGTGTCTATCATTGGTATTTTGTTCTACGTCTTCCGAAAAAGGTCTCGATAGAGACTGCTCATTCGGTGAATCGTTAGGGTATTCTGAATTTCTGCTCGAAGTATCCAGTCGTATCCATCGACTGGTCCATCGACGAGAGTTCGAATTAGTATTGGAATTTGTATCATCCAAATTTGAATCTGAATTACTATTCTCTTCGAGCAGCCAATATCCATTCTCCGAGTCGTCTAGTAATACTTGTTGAGTAGTATTATTGTTTTCCATCCGATCCGCGTGTAAATTTCGAAGAATTTGTAGAACATCTATCACTCTCCTGAGTAAGGGTGAATTTCTAAATATTAAAAATTTCAAATATATGACATCTTCAAAAATGTACAAAAAAATGTACAATAAAAAAAATTTCAACAAAATGTAAAAATTAAAATAAAAAAAATAAATAAAGTATGTTTACCCTTGTCTGCGACTGAGTTCTTGAGATCTCGTTTCTTGTGTATTTCGCATGGTCCTTGATGTCCTATTATCCTGGTCATTATCTTCGTTCGATTCGTTATTTAAATTAACAGGTAAATTATTCCTATCTGTTTCATCCAATCTGGAAGAATTAGTTGACGTCTCTTGATTTTGTGAGCTGCTGCTCATTCGTTGAGCAACAGACTTAGGTACATTTGGTTGAAACGCTGAATGAGTTGAAACTGTAAAATTAGATGCGCCATTACGGGATGTTGATGCTCGTGAATAACCTTCGTCGCTCGAAGATGAGCTGTCTTCTAGAATAATAAATAAATTTGGGATCAATAACATTAATCTTATTTCTCTATTCTACATAAGTGCAGTTTTGTTCAAGTAGAAAGATTACCAATGTAGGATAACGGCATAGGCATAGAAAACTCAATAGGACCTAATTTCCGCTTTCGTTGCCTCGGTGGCTCGTCCTCCGTGTTCAAGTCATTGAATCGTCTTCTTGTTGCTCTTCCAGTACTTCTCGATGAAGTACTAGCATTTTCACTATTGTTGGCATTGGACCACGAAGTGCCACGCTCTTCATTCTCTTGGACGTAACTTGTGCCAGGGAGCACATTGGATTCTAAATCGTGTAATCTCGAAGACAACACTGATGGCATAGAACTAGTACTGGGCATTTGTCCATCATTTGACGTAAGAGTTCTCCATTCGGCATTACTTAAATTCATTTGTGAAGAATCAGTCACGATATGCCGATTACGTGGCAGAATACCATACATCGTAAATTCGTCCCGCAGCCGTTCAATTCTAGAGCTCGTATTAGTGAACTGTGCCTCCATATTATTAAGTGCTTCAATTTCATCATTCAGAGCGTTTCGAAGCAACTGAAGGCGAGAGTTACGATTGTTAGAATGCTCGAATAAAGTCGCGGTCTGCCGCTGCAGTCTCTTTCGCAATTTCTGCAATCGTACCAAGCACGAACTATTATTTTCGGCGGCAGCATTCAGAGCCTCTCTTAAATTTTGAAGGGTGGTCCCGATTTCCTCTTGCTCGGAACGTTCCATCAATAATCGTTGACATCGTTGCAACCTCTCCAGGTTCGTATTGTTCGCTCGTGCGCTGGAATTCAATTCATTTCTTAATCTTCGTATAGATAATTCAGTCGCTGATTCGTTTCTATTACTAGACTCCTCGGAATTAGAAGATGATGCTTCCGGCATATCCATAGGATCAGTACCACGATCAATCTTCAAAGAAAATCAATAATTTTTATATACGTTTGATAAAAGAAAAAAATTCTGCTGGAGTTGTGAATAACAATGTATATAGCTCACCGTATCTCTATTTCTAGAAACGTCAAAGTAACGTCTTACAAGCGTCACGTATTGATCGACAAGATCTCTGTAACATAAATTTATTCTCCTCTCCGGATCTTGAGAGTTGGTTCCACGCAATCTTTCGTCCACACCGACCCACACATTATTTAATCGTTCATATAACTCATCCCTGGGATGAGAGTCGTTTATTGTATTAGATTCTCGATCGCGGCTTCTTAGCGAGCTCGGCAAATCGTCATCGTTACTGTCATCCGCTGATCTATTATCAACATTGTCCGTGTTTGCTGGATTACCAGTCGGACGAGGTGGATTTCTCGTAATGCTTGGAGATGTAGTTTCCCTAGTTTGATTCAGTTCTACATCGTAAGGTATAAAACTATTATGACAAATTTCAATTGTTAAAAATATTAAATGGAGTTATATTAGCTCACAGAATCTGCAATGCGACGGTAGAAGATAGATTTCGTACCTTCAGATAGATTTCGTCGCCGCTGAAACCGCGCTTCTTGTCGCGTACTGTTCCTAAATTGTTGATTGGCGAATCGCGAGAAACTGGACATTTCGTGGCCTCTGCGCATAAACAGATACGCACTGAAAGAATTTCTATTCAAATTTCGCAAATTCTCCAATGAATTTTGATTAATTATGCGTTGTATGGATAAATACCGAGAAGTTCTATCTGCAGTATTGCTGTCCGCCGATCCTCTTCCATAAAAAGAGCCATGATTCCACAAGTGAAAAGGTGAAAGTTCGATATCCGGGAAATTTTCTCGTGGCTGATACCTAAAGTTCCTAATGTTTTCGCAATTGGTTATAATGCAAACAGAATTATTTAGAATATATTAACGCACATATTATAGTATAAATAAAAAAAAATTAAGTTAATGAGAAAAAAAATACAATTAAAAATTGTGAAACATTCAATTTTTTTGATTGAAAAAATAATTAAAAACAGAAATTGGAGATTATTACCAATAAATTTATAATAAATATTTTACTGTTCGGTTTATATATTTTCAGAAAATTAAATTTGAAAAAAATTTTAAATTGTGAAAGATATTCAGATATTAGTGATGAACACACCTGTATCTAAAATTTATTTCTACACATAAGATTTACACCATTATTTCTACTCACATCAAACTAGTTCTAAGTAACTGTCCGACAGGAGCCCGATCCCATTGTGATTGTACTTGAGGCGTATTTGCGATACCTGTGATTAATTTTCTTCCTAAACTGTCAAATGCTACATATCTGTAATATTTATAAAGTAAATTATAGTTTTTCACAATATTTTTTCTCTTGCATTGTAGTCTAATAATGCAATCATTTTTTTGTTAAATAAACATACCTCACTTTTTCTTTGTCAGTCTTTGTAGCGGTTACAGCAAAAGGTTGAGACTTACTCCAGTCCCAAAAGTGAATTTCATTATATGTGGCTATAACTAACAATCTTTCAAAAGGATGGAACGCGAGCGAAGCGATAACAGTATTACTTTCGGCATTCCAAATTTCGCTACCACCCTACGTAAACAGATTTGTGTTGCAAGTAATTTAATGCATTGCCATTTAATACTGAAATAAATTATATATATAATCCCATACTCACACTTAAATCCCACACGCGAACTTGACCTCCTAGACAGCCGGATGCTAAGATCTGACTGGAGGACGGGTGAAAAGCTATGCACCAGGGAGTACGTGGATGTCCAGACAAGGTTCTAATATTTTTTCCCGTTGTAATTTCCGTGATATAAACATTGTGATTTCCATGCGTAGAAGCTACCATGGTCCTGAAATTGTCATGTTGATAAATTGTCAATTGATTATTATGTATTTTCTCTAATTTTCTTCATTATATTATATGTATTATATGTTATACATATAATAAAACCAGCTGTTACATATATATTATATATTACTTCCTTCTACAATTATCAGTACTATCTTCTGAGGTAACAATAAAAAAGATATACATAATTTTTCTCATTATATCTTACCCATCAGGACTGAAAACCATTAGAAAAGTGGCTCTAGGAAAACCAGGTAATTCACATTTCTGTAAATAAACATGTAATACTTTACTGTAATATACATATGTAGCAATAAATATATCATTATTAATTTAGCATTAGAAATTGATAAATGTTGGAGAACAAAAGTTGTTGTAAAAGGCCATTTTATTGGATAAGATTGTTACTGTACTATATTTACTTCACAAATTAGAGAGAAAGTAAACAGGACTAAATTACACAAGTACATAACTTGTATCATATGAGATTTGTTTTTCATTGCTGCAACAGAACTTTCATTCTCGCTTTCGTCAAATATCACCCATGTATCTATTTCGTTTTGGATATAAAGAAATGTATATTATTAGTTGATCATATACATAAGTACATACCAATTCCTTGTGGTCCCTCAACACAAAATTGGCCTCAGCAATCGGCTCCAGTTCACGCGTACTGGTCTTATGCGTTGTGTGTAACCCAAAATCTCTCAGCATTAAATTGCGCAGTATATTGTGTGACTTGCTGCAGTGCAGCAACTCCGGTCTTTTCTTGACTTTCCCCATTTAGTTGGATGTTACAACGTCTCTAAAATGAGTTGTAAAATATGTTAAAAATAGTTTTACATAAAAGTATTATATTCAAGAAAACAAAAGCACTTTTTTTCTTATATATTGATATATAATGACTTTTTTGATAAATTAAAATATCTTCTGTTAGCAGTACAATTCCAGTATTACTTATTTCATTATCACCACCTGTCTCCTAATTTTTTCATTCTTTCTTTTTAATATATTTTTAATATATACTGTTATCAATGATTTTTTCAGTTTCTACGCCGAAATATATAAAACATACATATGTGTGCAAAAAATATATATATATATATATAAGGCAGACACACTTTTGATCTCTCCTTAACAATACGGTACTATTGCTAGAATAATTCGTATTAGAAATATTGTTACATTGTTAAGGTAGGTTAGACTCCAAAAAGCTCATAATATTCGGACTAATCCCAACAACAAGATCTCGATGAAGGGCAGCGCAATTACGCGATGGATTCACGGACGTAAGCCTTTGTACTCTGAAATTCCGAACAGCATCGGTGCTTTCCTTACAGCAACGTTCACACTCATGGATCCACGTCAAGCTAAACTAATTACTCATGCTGGGCTGGGTGGCCCGGATTGCCCGGAAATAGCGATTAGCGACGTTGTGGCGAGCGGAGACGAATTCGCGTTTCCTCCCTGACAGACCCCCCCTCGTTCTCGACCCCTTTTCGCATAAACGAAATTCTATTTACCTGCAAAAATTATCGTTTCTCCGGGATGACGGACATGGGAGAGAAGGATGCGCGTACTCACTCCGCGTACGCGATGAACATAATAAATTTCCGATCACGTATCCTATCGAAACACATCATTGTCCTCCATTAACTCGTTCGGGCTATCGTGAGGCACTGCGGAACTTGGAACTCGTCGGTCACGATGTTTTCGACTGATTAAATTCGTCGTGCATCGCTAGATGACACTAATCTTATGAGTACGAGGGAGATATATATATATATATATAGAGAGAGAGAGAGAGAGAGAAAGAGGGGGGAGAGAGAAAGAGAAAATAGAATAAAAATCCTATCTTCTTCGAAAATAGAGAAATACTTTCGATATTTTCTAATTTACTTGATAATTAATGTATATTATTTTTATAATTAATACTACAATTTTTATTGGCTTATACATTTAGTTCCCATTTTTTAAATTGCATGCAGACATTTATTTAAAATACATATATCAAAAGGAGTTATCATCAAAAAATTAAATAAAATTTGAAAAGCATTTATTTATTATGCTATAATAATATAATATGCCTTATATAAGCTTTCATTCCTACATAACAGTATATACTTCTTATATTATATAAATTTCTCTTCAATATCTCATAATTAAATTCTTATATAATTTCTTATGTACAATTCAGTAAAATAATTTTTTATAGAAATATATCTTCTGCCCTTTTCTTTTCTAAAATAACATGTGTATATACAATTGAATTGACTAGTTAATTTAAGCTAAGACACGATTGCTGAAAGCACAGATCCTGTTCTCTGAGACAGACATTTACTCTCCACGAGACGAATCGAGGTGCTTCTTTGCCTCCCGCTGCAACTTAATGATCCAATATACGTAGATTGCCCGATACAATCTTATTTTCTAAAACAGTGCCAGAAGGCAAGTCTATACGTTCCCCGTGATTGGCGATTATAATAACGGTGCCTTTTAGCGTTACTCCCTTTCCAAAGGTAACATCGCCTGACACCGTCAAATGATCTAATTCGAGCAGATCCGGTATTGTCGGAAATCTGGTTAGAAACTCTTTTACCTGAAAGAAAAAGAAAAGGGATTGATAATGGATATTACTATATTACATATATATAGATACATGTATATAGATAATGGATATTACTATATTACATGTATATATTGTAGATACATGTGAAGTTAAAGATAAAATTCATATAAATTAGTAAAGATTAAAATATAAGAGTCAATCCTACTGACTTTTGAAAAATGATTATCTCCCAATTTGATGAGAGGGGTTGTGGGGAACATCCTTTGAGGACTCATTACGAGAGATCCGTTGCGTAGCGTGTACAAATTACTCATTACGAGCATTAGATCAGAAGTCTTTTTCACCGGCAAGAATCTGCTACGCGGCACATTTATACCTGTAACAAATAAACATTTTTAATTAATACAATTGTGTACAGAATCAATTTAAAATAAAGCAGGATTTCCTGAGATAAAGGATTCTAGAAATTAAAGAATAAAAAAATAATTTTGTCAAATCAGGAATGTTATCGCTTTCAGCGATAAAGACTTACCAATGCTTCCTTCGAATGATTTCATAGCAGCTCCTACAGCTGTTTCAAGTTGTATTATATTCAGACCATTGGTAAAAGTTTTGTTGTTTACAATTATCTCCATATTCATCGCTTTCTGCTCAAGTACTCTTTCGATAGCTATTTAAAAAGTAATATATATTAAACACAACTTTAATATATTTATTGTACGGCATACATGACATAATCAATTGTATGGCAATTATATCTTAAATATACCATTAAGTTTAATCCAGAGGTTGTTGGTATTGAAATACTTAAATGTCTTAACAGATTTAAAATCATCGATGTGATCCTTAGGAACTTGAGCTATTTCAAGGAGACGAAGTTTATCCTCGTATTTTATAAGTGTACCACCCTATAAATTATAAAATAAAGAATATAATTAGAATCTCTTTCACGTTATTTTAGACAAATTTCATAATTCTCACGAAATACACCTTGACGTCCGCTCGTGTTTTATCAGTTACTTCCATGACAAATTCAAGAGGTGGTTCCGGACTTTTGCTAAACAATGACTTCAAGATTTTTATATCTACCGTGGCACCAAGATTATCTATGTTAGAAATAAAACAATATTCGCGGCCCTGTAAAAAAGCCAAATTTTTTAAAAATTGATTACCGTGTTATTATTTATATAAACGTAAAAAGTGCAATTTTATTACCTCATGAATGAATTTTTTAAGTAGACCAGAGTTTTGAAAACTTTCGTAGAAGTCTCCATGACCAGGTGGGTACCATCTGTTAACAAATTATGCATTATTTTGCATAAACGTGTTGTTAAAATAATGTTAATAGTGATTTTATCAGAATCGTTCTTACGCTTCTATGTCCTCATCGACTTGACAGTGCTTAGCGATTGGTAGGAGGGAATCCCTGTTTATGCGCGGATAACAACTCTGATTAAAAGTATAAATATCTATATCGATTCCTTTGTATTTTCTAATTATGCGTTGTGTATCGTCGTCTGTGTTGAACGAATTCATCAGTATGAGAGGCACGTTAGCATTATACGTTTTATTTAGGTGCTGTTATAATAGGAAATACATTCAATTATAATATGATATTATACATTATGTTACAATTGTAAAATTAACAGTAATTACATAAATGATAAAAATAAACTAAGTTATAATTTGTCGTAATACCTCAATTTGCTGAACGGTGAGATCAAGAAACGTGAGTCCATTTCGTACAGCAATAACGGACTTCGGTCCGTGACATCCCATGCTCGTTCCAAGACCACCGTTTAACTTGACAACAACCAACTTATCAAGCAGTTCCTTCACCTCGTTTGTCTCTGGTGATGGTAAGGAGTTGTAATTCTTGACCTGTGAAAAAAGCATAATTCGGAATTATAAAATTAATTAAATTTCTATATTATATTTTATTAATAGAATTCACCAATTAATAAGATGCAAAACATCCTTAGAAGATGGTTTTATAGAATGTCGATAGATCATCATAATTTCGATTCTCAACTCATTAATTATAATTAGTAGCGATAATTATCAATACGGAGTTTGTTAATTAAAATGAACTAAAAAATATATGCTGTTACACAGAGTGTTGTTTAAATTTTATTGAAAGAAGAGGAAACGCCGCGGATATCTCCTCATGACGATCTTTCGTTTCTGCACGATTGGGTTTCACTCACTGCATCTTCGGACAGCCTCTGAATATGGTTCCATTCTAAGGACGGACCCTCCTCCTGCAGGAATCGCTCGAAAAGATGTTGGAATCCAGCGAACTGCCGGCTGAATATCGTCGCCTTGTTTTCACGGGCGGTTGCCTGCAGCTTCTCAAGCTCGCGTTGCAGCTCATCCCGTGCATCTCTTTTCGTGCGCTCGCGAAATGCCTGTGTATCTGAAGAGCTGCGTTGGTGACCACGGGCCTGTGGAGTTTCCTCCGTATTATAGCTAGACCGAAATTTTTTTTTACCTATTCTTTTTGCGAAGTCCTCCCAATCCATTCCGGTGAGCAGTTCATCGCAATTCGAGGACAAAATATTGCGCATGATGATTTTTCAAGATTGCAGCCGTATAAATCGATAAAAAAAAAAATACGAGAAAAATAGGAAAAATAAATAAATCGTGTATACGCGTACAATGATTCCGAATGTGTCTGACAGCTTTCTCAAAAAGTTTCTCGTTAAAATTTCCCTCGTCGGGACAAAATTCTCATGTACAAACGCAATCTCGTAAAATTCGACCGCAATCTCTAGCAATCAACAAGCGTTGCTAACGAAGTCTGTTTTTCTTTTTTTTCTTCCTGTTTTTTTTTTAACACGCGACGAATCATCGTGAATCGTCATCATTGTCTTTCCGAAAAATGTGCGAAAGCAATCGCATCATTCATGCCAGGAAAGGTCTCTCAAAAGGCAAACGAATAGATAACGAATGTAAAAAAAAGTAAAATAAATAAATGCGATGCGATAACGATAAATCTAGAAACGAAAATTACCATAAGAATTGGCGATTGAATTTTAACGCTACATATTTTGCTCGTATACCAGGAAAAAAGAAAAAAGATTCTGTTTTTATTTACTTTCAATTAATTAAAATGGTGTAATTCTTCTCGTAATTTGTCTGTTATTATCTACGTGTTGCAAATTATCGCTAGATACGGAGACGTATAAAAATAATACTGCCACTTCATATACAAACAACTATACATATGTATAGTTATTTGTATATATAGAACTAAAAAAGGAAATATGCTAAATACGAATTGTATATATTCTACCTTTTTCTTATTATTAAAAGCAGAGACAAGCAAAAAGTAAGTTAATCTATGTCCATTTTTACAAAATAGAATAGCTTTAATCTTAGTTCAACTTGTTTCTTATCTTTTTCTAGTCCTAAAAATGATTAGATAAAGAGTAAGTTATCCAAGATCAAAGTCAATTGACATTGGCAGAAATAAAAAGAGAAATTTTAAAACCAATGATATATAGAAGACAATAAGACGATGAAATTATTTTTAAAAAACCTGATAAAATATGGCAATAAAAATTAAGAGAAAAAATCATTTTTTTCCCAAAGTTTCTACGCATTTTTTCATAGCTAAGAATATTAACCCTAACACAATGTTGCGATTGTATTAATCTCGCCTGCGAAATGATAATTCGAATTTAAGTTGACCTGGAGATTCTCGATTTATTGCAAAAAAAAAAAAGAATAAAGAGGCTAAACGGGACAAGCAATATTTTGCGATGGTTTTCATTTCATTTACAGTTAAGATAATATTTTCAAATAGGAGTAGTATAGACTAATACTATATTTATAGTTGGATCTCATATAATACTTAAGACCATCTTAAGTACGATATTAAGATATCAAGAACCGATCAAAGATCCGTAGCATCTTAAGACATTACTTAAAACGATCTTAAAATAAGAACGGATTATAAAATATAAATACAACATATATTTTTCCTCTTTTCTCTTTGTGGATGAGACCGATGTAAAAAAATGTGCGAAACGAATAATATAATCACCTATTTGAATATTTAACTTTCAAATATATGTACTGCGATAGTAAAATACAACGCACAACTGTCGACCTTGCATCTAAAAGAGTGTAAAGCCGGCTTCGCAACGGCGAGAGGAATTTCGCGACTGGTTATCGCGAGACTTGCGTGAGGATTATCGCAGAAAACACTTGAACACTTATTGTTAGTGCGTTCAAACCTAATTTTCTATATATTAGAATTAAGGATCACTAAATTTATATAGGAAACAATAACTGATAGTCGAACAAATGCTGGCCCCTTGTTGACCTTTTTCGCATGTGATAAGATAATTTCGAGAAATACATATACGTCGCATGAATTTTATCTCTCTGTTGAAATAAATAGTCGTTATTACATTCGCGGTTGCTCGGGATATCAGAAAGATACGAAATTGCTATGGAAAAAAAGATTTCGGAGCTATTAACAATAATCATATAAATATATATAATTTAAGCGCCATTATTAATAATATAAATATAATTTAAGCGCCGTTATCAGAACGTTTATAATAAAAAGTGTTAGCGAATAATGTCAGGTATTTCTATTCACTTGAAATCCATTTTGCGACACAACTAAATTGAACATAATTTCTGCGATTACTATCTCGGTTATCATCTCGTATTAACTGTTATATTATAACATTCATGCATCGTAAATGCCTCACGATACGTGAAATAACTATCGAATGAGAAAAGTGAAATTAGAAGAACTTACAATTACAATTAGGCCCGGTTCCACCAATACAAGATTAATTTTAATTTCGATTTAACTGACTCTTTTTTCTAATTCTTAGAATTATGCCCGTTTTTACCAACGTAGTTGAACCAAAATTAAAGTTAATATTAGAATTAGAAAAAGATTTCTTAGAATTAAAAAAGGATAAAGAGTAAATTATAATCCGAAATTAAGCTTAATTTACGTTAGTGGAAATTAATATTAGCAAAACTTTGTCATTTCTTACGTAAACTTTGACAATGATGAGAGAGAAAAAAAAGAAGTTCTTAAGGTCGATTAAAAGTCATCCTGTGTTTTCTGACTGGGACATGATTTTACTTATATAAGTTGATTCTACTGGTCTTACCACACAGTAAAGTCGTCGCAGAAGCACAAACGCATCACAAACTATACTCGTATTTATTATTCTGAATACGTGGATATTCTGACAGAAAGAAATATGGAATATTTATTTCATATTTTTCTCGCTATTTGACGCTCGCGCGAATCATAAAATCGTATTGTTTCTATCGCGATTTTCTATTTTTCAAAGATAGTTTTTTTGATATTAAGCCAGAATATGATCATATACATAAATACACCAACTAATATCTATTTCAACCAATACAATTTAACTTTAATCTTGGTTCAACTAACTAGTTTTAAGAAAAAAGAAAAGTAAATTGAACCAAGATTTAATCTACATTGATAGAAACGTGCATAAGTATATAAGCCATTTACGTAAAAATAAAGTAAACCATTTAAGTAAAAGTCAGATGTTGGAATAATTCATTTAAATGTATTTTTAAATAAATTTATCTCAGATATACGACTGCGCGCCGATTATTTTGGACTTGCAACACAATTTCAATTTGATTGCGTTGCGAGTTTCAATATCAGAGTCGTCATTTATCTGAAATAAATTTATTTAAAAATACATATAGGCTGGTTATTCAAGACTGTCTTAAATACAGTCTTATGATGTCACGAATGAATAGAACCTTATTAGTATCTTAAAACATTTAACTTAAGATCAATTTTGAAAAACAGACTATAGATATCAGCTATATAGATGTATATATATTTTTATTCCAAGAATAACTTATTATCGAACATTTGACTTCGACCGTAAGTTTTTCATATTTAGTTGAACTTTTCTCCATCTCGTTCCATACACGATTCATTGTACAAATCGGGAGCAATCATCGCCTTTCTGCGGAAAGATAAGTCGCACGCGACATGAGATCGACTCGAGGGTTAAACGACCAATGAGATCGGTACCACGATTACATCTCAGAATGACTCTGCGCACTCGAGTCGAGTTCGCCTATCATTAGCTTACATAACAACAGATTAGTACGAGTGCTTGTATAAATCATTGCGTAAAAACTTGTGGAAACTTTTAGTCCATGGCGAAAAAGATCTCCGAAAATCGTGAACCAGGTGGAACTTGATCCTTCATACAATCTCCTTCAACAAAACGATGTCTTTACGATGATAGCTAAGGGAACGTCAAACGTAGGTAACGACTTAATCTCATTAGACATCTAAAGATAGCCGTTATCTCATACACGTGAAGAACAAGGCGCGAGAGAACTTACGGTGGAAAAAATCACTAATAAATACTACACTAAGAAAAATTACTGATTGAAAATTTTCTGATCACACATATCAAACAGAATTCTACATATTTTGATTAGAGTTATAATAGATTCAAAGAATTTTCAATTTTTCCAATTTCAACCAAAATTCCAATTAATGCAACCAGACTCTTCCAGTAAACGTAAACGACTACAAACAGCTGCCCAAACAGCGCAAAATTTATAAAATTGTAACATAAGATGTTACAAGTCGTTCCTTTCACAGTCGTCTTTTAGACGCAAAAAACGTTTAACTCGACTTTTAGACACTTTTTGTTGTTTAGATGGTTTCTGATTATTTCTGGTTAAAAATAGATTATTGTGATATATATATATATATACACACATATATATATATATATCAAATCACATCAAGCAGAATTCTAGTTATCTAAAATTATAATAGATTCAAAAAATTAATGATTAGTCCATTTTCAATCAGAATTTCAATTAATTCAATCCGACTCTTTCCAAACGTAAACAGCTACAAAAGAAGTGATTTTTCACAGAATTAGAAGTTACGCTCTTAGATCCTCGCTACAAGAAATTTACAGGTTATTTACGTTTTATCTAATCACATCACCTGTGAATATCTATAAAAAAATTGACGTCGATTCTCAGAAATACGTACCGCGGATTTCCTGCAAGTTCGCAATAGCATTTTTCTTTCAATATCTGCACATTTCCTTCAATTTACTCTAGCAACAACCGGATGAACGATTGAAGGTCAATAACGTTTTTCTTAACGAAGAAATCGTTAAACGAGATCCTTTCTGCGAGGAAAGACTTGAAAATTCTACGAATTTAATTCAAATCCGAGGTTTTTTTCACGAAAGAGAAAACGTTTGAGAATCTCTCGGATTTTAATTTGAACGCGAAGCCCTTCCCGTAGTAGAAAAAATGTTCGAGACTCTTTCGGATTTAATTCGGTTACAAAGTCTTTTATGTCGGAAAGTAATCGAGAATCTATCGAATTTAATTCAAATGAAGACCAAAATTAAACGATCCCTCGATCGAGATCGGTGAGGAGACCGCGCACAGAAGCCAGCGACGATTACCACTTACTTGCAACAGGTACTCCATGTGCGACACTTTGTAGCGTAACGGATGATTGGCGGTCGTGGAATGCGACTGCGACATCGCGCGTGCGGCCATCGGCGCGGCAAGGCGCGCTCCACCAAACACGATGTAAATGCGTATACACACGTGACGTGACGTCCGGTCAAATGAGATACGGGACGTCTTTTTTTCCGGGCGCGAATCTTCTTTGTTTACAGGAATAGAGATCCTGGACGCGAAAGGATTCTACTTGACACTCGCAACGCTCATGGAACTATCTCATCCTTGTGATTTTTTGTATATTAAATAAGGATAAATAATACCTGCGAGTGAGCGCCAAACAGAACGCACCCCCTAACAGAGTTTGTCTGCGGGATAACACATTTTTGATTGGCCGATCGTTTTGGTAAAATTCAGTAAAATTCAAGTTAGAATAAGTGAGATAGCTATACAAGTTAAAATGAAATAGCACATATAAAAAGAAATATATACCTTGTGTATACATATTA